AGCAGCCCAGTTTGAAAAAGACATATGCACCCTTATGTTTATCGCAGCACTATTTACAATAGCCAAGAAATGGAAGCAACCTAAGTGTCTATCAGTAGATGAATGGATAAAGAAGATGTGTTACATATTCACAATGGAATATTATTCAGGCATAAGAAGAACACAAATCCTACCACTTGCAACAACATGGATGGAGCTAGAGGGTATTATGCTCAGTGAAATAAGCCAGGCAGTAAAAGACAAGTACCAAATGATTTCACTCATATGTGGAGTATAAGAACAAAGAAAAAACTGAAGGAACAAAACAGCAGCAGACTCAAAGAACCCAAGAATGTACTAACAGTTACCAAAGGGAAAGGGACTGGGGAGGATGGGTGGGAAGGGAGGGATAAGGGGAAAAACCGGGCATTACAATTAACACACATAATGTGGCGTGGCGGGACACAGGGAAGGCAGTATAGCACAGAGAAGACAAGTAGTGACTCTATAGCATCTTACTACGCTGATGGACAGTGACTGTAATGGGTATGTGGGGGGGACTTGATAATGGGGGGAGTTTAGTAACCATAATGTTGCTCATGTAATTGTACATTAATGATACCAAAATAAAAAAACAAGTAAAGAGATAAACCTGCAAACCAAAGAAATTGGTCAGTGGCCCTGCCTTTTTTAGAAACCTGAACCAGCCCAGCTCTGAAGAGCATAGGCCAAGTCTGGAGGCCAAGCTCTTGGCCTGAGGACCCACTGAGGGTCACACAGAGGAGGCGTTTGTTTCATAAACTAGTTTGTATCACTGAGTCACAGAATCTCTCAAGGAGCCTGATTCACTAGTTTGGGCTGAACCTCCCAAGCAAAAAAGCAACTCAGGTTCCCTGGCTCTCAGCCCCATCAGTCAACCATAGCAAAGTGGAAATCCTGGGCTTGTCTCTCCGGTTCGGAGGAAAAACACTATGGTTTGGGGGATTATTGCCCTGAGAAATGGAGGAATATCAGAGGCCCAGCCATGTACCATCCAAAGAATTAGAGATGTGGAGAATTCAAAACACCAGGACAAGGCAGCGTTTCCTGCAAATGAGCCCCTGTAATTAACCCTTCCCTGGAGTCCCCAGAAGTAGGACTTCTCTTAGAAACATGCTATTTCTTTCCCTAAATAGGCCAGTTCCATTCCATATGATTATCTGCAAATCCTGCTTTCTCTTTTATGAGGAAAAAGACGTGAATATCAGATTTAGCCAGCAAGGCAGATGCACCGGCCTGGCACTGCAGGACCTATTCTTCATTGGTCAGCACATGTGTCAGGAGCTGATCCCACTCACCTCCCCGGCCTCATCTGCCTTTTCTCTGTTGGAACCCTGTAGTTGAATCATAACTGGATTATTTATAGTCTGAACATGTCCACTTCTTCATCTATAAAATGGGTAATAATAATACCAGTCTTACAGGGTTATTGGTAGAACCAAATAACTAATATCTGTGAAATGCTTAGACCTAACACCTAGTAAGGACTGGTAAATGTCACCATTTTCCCCTAGCACAGCATCTTCCCTGTAGTAGACACGTAATAAATACCTGTTGAATGAATGAATGAATAAAACACATTATCTCGCTCTTATCTCAGCTTTGCACACACCACTTCCTGCTGTTAGGATATCCCCAAATTTCCTTCCGTCTCCTTTTCACAGATTCAGAACCTCCTTCCACAGTTCTGAATTCTTCCATGTGTTCTTTAAAACTCAACTCAGGTGTTTTCTGTAGCTGGGAGCCTGGTGCTAAGCTGAGCACAGTTCTGCCGCTCTGTGCTCCCTTGGCACCTGACCCCTACCTCACCTCATCACTGCAGTCCTCACCTTGAACACAGTGGCCTACTAGTGTCTCCCCACTAGACTGTTAGCATTGTTAAGATGGAGACCGCTGGATCTACTCTGCCTTGGGGAGTACTTGTTGCATAAATGCTTGTGCCCGTGAACATCATAAGTACCTAAAAACTGGTAGCTAAAATGTGTTGAGTTCTCCCTCTTTTCCAGCTACTAAACTAGGCACTTTGAGTGCATCATCATCTTTAACCTTCACAAAAATCCTAATTGGTGAAGTCAATGAGTGTCCTTCCCATTTGTAGGTAGCAAAACAGAGTCTTAGGTTCAGTAACTTGTCATAGCTAGGATTTGAACCGGATGTCAGGACTGCTAACCATTCCACCACAGTGGCAGTCTGTTCAAATGGGAGTTTGATGTGCGCTCTGTCACTTGTATTTTGTAACTTAATTAAGTGAACCAACAACTGAAGGTAGGGTAAATTGAGCTGGTCTTACGAAGTTTCTGTTTTGTTATAGGTTCGGACAAGTGGACCTCCCTAGAAAGGAAACTGTTTAATAAAGCACTAGCCACTTACAGCAAAGACTTTATTTTTGTACAGAAGATGGTAAGCATGTGTTTTCCCATTCTTCAGTTGGAATTGAGTTTGGGGAATTGTACACCTAACCATAGAAATACTTGGTTACCAGTTTAACACTTACAAAAAGGATGTCTTTCACCCTGCCCTGGTGCAGGAGGGTATTTGTTATAGGAGTGGCATGGCCCTGGTGTCAGGGATGTGGGGGGAGGGAGAAGGACATAGGTTATTTGGACATGGCAGTGGTAAAGGTTGTTTTTATCTGAATGAAAATGTGTAATGTGTACATTTTACCAGGATAAATAGAACCAGGGCTTCTGGTACACAATTTCTGTAATTTATTTCATGTTTATTTAGCATTGTCTCATATTTCTGAAAGAATTTTTTTCTGGGAAATTAAAAGAAGGGAGGCTATGTGCCTTCCCCCTAGCCAGCAGCAGAGTTTCTGTTGTTGAGCCCCTAATCACCATGACAGTAACAATAAAAATAACGCTTTATGTATACAGCATTTCACAGCAAAATAGACCTCTGCCACATTGATGGAATAGCACTTTATATAGCAGGTAATAAACTTAATAGGCCTTAATTGGCTGAGAGGTTGTTTAGGCTAAAAGTTAAAATGATCCAAAGTGTGTTTCAGAAAACAGCTAAATGATGAAGCCATACTTTGCTATTAAGGTCATTAAGATGTTCAGATCCACAGAGAACAGTCACAGGTAACAGCTCTTCTGGCTCCCAGTGGTGTCCTGGATACATATTTCCTGTTCATAATCTAGGGCCTTGATGGGTGAGAATCAGTATAGGTGAACCTTTTCTCTGGCTTACCTCCATCTCACCACGCTCTTTGCTGCCCTGCATGCCCAGCAGTTCCCATGCTCCTATTTTTCTAGAGTCACCTTCTCCAGGACTGACCTGTCCTAGGCTCTGTGCCTTGAAGGCCCAGCACCACACTGACTTGTGATGGATTCTTGTGTTGTGCTTCCAGGCAATGCATGTTCTTAAAACAAGCACTCTCTGGGACAGTATCCACTTCCTGGGTGATTCTAGTTTAGAAATTCAAAAGATATCAAGTGACGTGAAGGGGACAGACAGCTTTGGGGAGACAGGTTCTTGTGATATCTTTCTCATCTCACCATGTAGGTGGTGGTGTTCCCACCCCGAGACTTTTATCTGCCTTCAGAAAACATACATTATTGAATCCCACGTTGAGCTTAGAGATAAATTAACTAAACAAAGGTATTTTTTTCATCTTCAAAATACATCTACCTTTGCCTCTTTGGGGGAGAACAGGGCAAGGCTTGTTTCTTGAAAAAACTAAGCTCTTGTCATCATAACTTTTGCCTTACATTCTTGTTCGATTACTAAGGAACATTTTTCATAAATAGGTTTTGAAGGTCAGCAAGTTGGAGAGCCAAATACTTTCAATCACATTAAATGAAAAAGTTTCCTACTTTATGGGTTCAAGAAAGGAACTGTGAAAAAAAAATCAAGATGCAAAACAGTATATATAGTGTGCTACCTTTTAGGAGGAAAAAGGGGGGAGGAATATATGTTCATGTTTTAGGGTATGTGCATAAAGAAATGGTGGAATGATACCCACGGAATTAATTAGAGGGGCTGTGTTGCAGGGGTGGAGAGTGAGAACTGGGTGGATGGAGACAGGAGATTTGTCACTATGTACATTTTTTATTGAACTGCATAAACCTGTTGCCTTTTACAAAATAAAATTTTCACAAACGCTCGCTGCTTTGCACTCTGCCCACCAAAAGGAAGCTGATGCTGAGATCCCTTTCCTGGCAGGTGAAGTCTAAGACGGTGGCTCAGTGTGTGGAATACTACTACACATGGAAAAAAATAATGCGGTTAGGGCGGAAGCACCGGACACGCCTCACAGAAATTGACAATTATGTGGTGAGTGAAGCTGCTCAGTTGCTGCTCATGCTGGCCCCACTCCCACCCTACGTCCAGGTTAGTAAGTGGCTCGTGTGTGGTTTGGCTTTGCTGCTAAGGTGACAGGCCTGCTCCCTTGAGGGACTCAGGCCTTGACTTCCTGGTATAGCTAAGCAGAGGGAGGGCGGCTTTGAGTTTGACCTGTAGCTCAGTGTTCAGCTAAGGTGGTGAGGGCTGCCTGCATTCAAAGGCAGGTAGGAGCCAGGGGAGGGAGGCCAAAGTGGTCCCAGTCTTGACCTGGTTGGTTTATAAGTGGGTGTCCTGACCCCCTTGTATATTCTTTCTGATCCTTCCACATCACAGATGCTACTGAACAGAGAACATACATGACTCAGATGAAGGGACCCTCAGATTTTACCACAGCTTCCATAAAACATGACCAACAAGGAGCCTTGGCCTTGACATAGTGCCAGGGACTCCCAGTTATTGAGGAATGGCTAGCAGGGTACAGGTTGTCCTATCTTTACATCACCGTTCATCCCTGCTACTGACTTCCTTCATCAGCAGACAATCCAAAGTTGTCTGCTTACTAAGTATATACCAAACATATAACAAGATTGAAATCCTCTCTGAACTCAGGTGTGGCTTTGGTAATTGCTGTCCCTTTTGTCCTCATAGTTAGCTCTTTTCTCTCTATCCATAGCCAGATGAAATCTCCTTTCCACACGTTGTGGAAAACATTACCTACCATGTATGTGTATGTAAACCCTACATGTCTCACAACACGTGACTAAACTCCAGTCTTTTACCATCAGGGAAGGTGTCCGTGGAAGTTGTGAATATTTGTAATTATGCTTTCATTCCCAGTTATGCCTCTGCTGTAAATGTTAGCACATACCTGAGTTATTTTCTTTAACAGACACTTACATAGATCTTTCTACATGCCAGGCATGGTGTTAGACACTTTACAGGTAATGACTCACTTAATCCTCATACCAATTATATGAGGTCGGAAACCGAGGCACAGAGCCTGAATATCGTAGCCATGGCCAAATGGCCAGTGAGTATGTTGTCTGAGCCTGATTCACTTGTGTAATTCTTAAGAGCATTCAAATGCAAATCCTCTCAGAGAAGTGTGAAAACACAGGGAGTCATGAATGCTTCAAAGCCCAAGTTCCTAAGATCAAGCCTAGCTATGAAATGTACACACAGTTACAAATTTAGACCCAAATATCAGAAAAAATAGACATTTGTGGAATAGAATGGTATTGCCATTGTCTTGATAAGAGATCACTGTATTCTGTATTCAGGATTTCCTGTGACCATGGGTTTTGTTTGACTGGTTTAAGTAGTGATGTCTTGTATCTGTATAGCCTTTTTCTCAGTTGTGGACAAATGTTTGGAAAAAGAATAAATGTGGCCTCTTCTGGTTCAATCAACTGAAAGCAGTTGAGTTCCCACAGTGTAAACAGGAATGTGTATGTAGTGCTTTGGGTGACCCAGGGATGTTAACTGGCCTCTGCCCCAGCCCCCTCTTGGGAACATATATTATAGTTGGGAAGATACGGCATACACAAGTGGAAAGGATGCCATGAAATCCAAGAGGGTTTAAAAGCAGGAAGAGAAGAGAACCAGAAAGCCGTAGATATGACCCTCTCATCCAACTCCACCATTCCACAGACAGAAGGACGAGTCCCCAGAGAGGGGGAGGGGCTTGTCCAAGGTCACAGAGAGCATTGCTTTCCAAATGAGTAGATTGGATAACAAGGAAGCACAAAGAATCCTGGCCTTGGAGGCATAGAGCTGGCTTCTAGGCTTACTGACCTATAAAATGAGGCAAATGGGTTAGATGATTTGGAAAGTCCCTTCTAATTCTGGAATGTTCTGGGCTCTGTCAGGGTCCTGTTTTGGAAGAAGGGAAAATCAGAGGGTATAGTTTCCTAGACCAAACTGATTCAGCTTGGGTGTTACCAAGTACCCAGGACAGTGCCTGGCACACTACAGATACTCAGTAAGTACTTGTTGAATGAATGAGTGAACATTTTTCCCAGCTAGGAGTCACAGCAACAATTCCTCTATGAACTCACTAGGGGGAGACAGGGTGAACAAGGGGATTCTGAGCAAGGGAATGCTGCTAAATGTTACCACTCAAGGCAGAGGTGCCATCTTGGGTCAACAGGGCTTTGGTGGTGGCTGGAAAGGTCCGGGCCAGCGTGTAGCCTCAGAGCAAGGAGGAGAGGTTAAAACAGCACCCAGACAGCCACACCTTTTTGTGCTTATTCACCAGGAGCCATTAATAGGCTGGGTCAGGAACACCCACACCCTTGTGACCTATGAGCTTAGGGAAAACAAAAAGCTATGTGCAGAGATGACTCAGGCCCACAAAAACAAGAAAATCTTGATTTAAAGCCAGCATGGCAGCACACAGCTCTCCTTTGGGCACTGTGGAGACGCAGTTAGCCTGAGCATAGTTTCCCCAGTGGAGATGAAAGTTGGGACCATGCAAGGTCAGGGAAGGGTGCAAAAGGTGCAGTGCTGGGACGAGGGTCTGATCAAGGTTCTTAATGTCTTATTAAAAAGGCAGGTGACTGACTCAAAAGGAGCATATTGGCCTATAGGTAACTCAGGGACTTTTGCAGGGAGAAAGGTAAAGGAGCATTTGAAAGGAATGACTCTTCAGGTAGCAGAAGGTCAGCCTAGCACAATCACTCCCTTAGCCCAGTCATTTGATATTTTCCACCCTTTGAGGCAGAAGTGGACCAAGGTGGGCTCTGCTGAGGAGGTGGGAGGAAAGTGCTGACCACATCTCCCTCTCCCCTGGCTATGCTCAGGCTCCCACTCAGGGCGAATCTATGGGTCTGTATATGCCCTAAATTTATCACAATTCAAGAAACTAGCAAATGCAGTTAACTGACTTTGGAAGACAGCAGTCAGGGCTCTAAGGACAAAGGTTGCTCATGGTCTAAGCACCTAAGTTACCTACAACATGGTCCACTGACAATGATTTGGGGAAATATCTTCCTTCCCTTTGACATTTAAAGGCAATTGGTTCCAATGCATTTGAAAAATCGGGATTTCTCTGTTTGAGCTGAAAACCCAAACGATGTTCAACCAGACACATGTTCACCTGTGGGCATTTGGTGCAGCACCAAGAAATGAAGGCGGTTCAAGTTTTGAAATAAGATAATCCAGGTTTTAAATCTCAATGCAACTTCTTGACCTTGGGGAAAGAAGTCCTCTGACCAGTTTCCTCATTTGCTTAAAAAAGAAAAATTTGCACAGGGTTACTGTGAGCCCTGGAAATATGCAGACATGTACATATGTGGTGTCTGATTTATAGGCATTCACTATATCTTCATCACCATCATCCTCATTAATGACTGTGACACTCACATTTGTGTCTTTGAGTAAATTTGTGTGGTTGAGCATTTCTATTTGAACTTATAAAATTTCTCATATACAAATTCCATTTGCATGTCTTAGAAATAAAATATCCTCATGAAACTCTTATTGTGGACGCTCTGGGTTTTGTACACCATGTTAAATTTATAACACCTCCCCACCCTATATTTTCCCACTTTCTACCAGTTTTGCAATAGCACTAAATGTTTAATTTCATAATACCTCATGAAATGGCCAACTTGTTGATACAAAGTTCTACATGTTAGGGTTTTTGTCCACCTATCTTTGTATCTCTTAGTCACTTTCATGAGCCATATGGCTTATGATAAATCATAGTGTGAACATGTATACACTGACAGTTGGAATAGAACCTACCTAAGTTCCTGAGACATATATAATCACAGTACCATGTAATTTAGTCTATAATTGTGTGGCTATATGGAATGTCTCTCCTAAGAGTTTTGAAGCCAAAAAATGGCACTCTGAGAAAATGGTAATTATAGGAACCCATGTCTATGGCTTCCTTGTACTTACGTAATTAAACTTTGGGTTTTTCCTCCTGTTTAAAAAAAAAGGAAATGATAATTACACAAGTACCATGAAACAAGTGTCATTGTCATTAAAAGTTACTCTATACTTTAAGTGCCAAAGCCATGGTCTGATGAGTAAACTGATAGGTGAAACCCCAAAGTTCCGGTTCTGTAAAGGAATGGAGTGGACTCTTGGAGTTTGACATAACATGTTTTTACCTGAAATTCCTTGAGATTGACAAATGGTAGATTCATATGGGAATAAGATCACTTAAGTGAAATCAATCTATATGTTCTGTATTGTAAAAGACCTACAGATTATATCACAAATCACTCTAAAATATATGAGGCCAACATTTGTACTCCCTGTAATCATTACTAATTAATGCTACTTAACCCACTGGAAACTTGTACCACTTCTCAAATATACCCTGTTACCTCATCATCTCAAATATGCATAAATATGATATTAAATACAGACAATACTGCGACAGGGGAGTACCAAATGCTCCCTATTTACTGGCATTATCTTTCTCCCCTGCCCGCAATCCAAACTAAAGAGAGAATGCTTGTGGTTCCTGGATCCCAGGGTACCAGGACTATTAGAAATCTCTCTTCTTACTGGACATTCTCACTTCTGAGTTCCAGGAATTGTGGGCTCACCCAGAGTTCCGTCACTGGGGTAAACCAGACTGGAGCCCACGTGCTTTAAGCAGTGGGTGTGCAGAGAGGGCCCAGCAGAGACAAGTGGCAGGGGAACGTGCTTTCGGTTCCCTCCTTCATAAAATGGGAGGACTGTTTACAGCCTATTCAGTGACAGAGCAAATATGAACACACTTTATAAGCTGTAAAGTGCTGTAAAATAGAAGCTGAAATGAGGTTGACATGACAGAATTCCCTCAACTCCTAAGGACTAAGGCCTGGAGGAGCCAGCCTCCCTCAGCCCCTGATAAGAACAGAGAAAGCAGAATAAGGGAAGTAGATGATCGAGAAGTAGAACAGTAGCCCACCATCTCAACCCACCCGGGTGCCTACCACAGGCTGCCCCTGCCACTTACTATCACGCCAGCCTTGAGGAAGGGGGGACCTGCTGCGTAATTCTCTACCCAGTTGCTGTTGTGAGGTACGGGGAGGGGTCCAGCTGTGGGAGGATGCCCACTTACAGGAAATATTTCTCTCATTACTCTTCATAGAATGCCTCTGGAAGGCATTTCTCCAAACCCATGATCGGAGACACCCTCCCCAAAAAAAACTTGATCAATAAGAGTTTTCTTTTTCTCTCCTGCATTTTCAAAGTCATTGCAGTTGGCTCACTCTTTGATTCTACTTGCCGACAAGAGTGAGCAGGAGTGTTGGGACATCAAGTCACAAGCTTCCACAGGACAGGGGTCAAATCAGACACTCGGGGTGTCCCCCCAGGAAGTGTGTTACAAGGCCTGTAAAACAAACTATTATAAGCTTGTAGCCTCTCCAGTGGGGCTTCCGTAGTATTGTTACTGCTTGAAAACCCTCCTTGCTGCTCTGGGGTGACAGAGCTAATTCCCAAGCGAGTTTTAATCAGTTTAAAGGTCTGCTCGTCTGGCACAAGCAGGAGAAGCTACATACAGAAATCTCTCCTCCTTGCCTTAGCACATTTTCATGTAAGTGATGAGGGCACCCAAAGTGGGGCAGGGGGACTTCCTTGACCTCGAAATTCCAAGGGCCCAAGGGCCCAATCTTGTAGGACCTTGTCTCTCCTCAGAGAGCTCTGTCAGCCATTCCTTTTGCAGAAAGAAACCCCAGTGTCCAGCCCCTCTGTCCTCTCCTGGCCGGTGGTGCTGTTATCACTAAAATTGCCATTTGGGGATTTCCCCTTTTTCTTTTATTGCCTTAACACCAGACGAGTGAAGAAGAAGAAGAGCTAGAGGAGGAGGAGGAGGACCCGGAAGAAGATAGGAAATCCACAAGAGAAGAGGAGAGTGAAGTGCCGAAGTCCCCAGAGCCGCCACCGGGCCCCGTCCTGGCTCCCACAGAGGGGCCACCCCTGCAGGCCCTCGGCCAGCCCTCGGGCTCCTTCATCTGCGAAATGCCCAACTGTGGGGCTGTAAGTGTCTCTGTGTCCTCCTGGGATCTGGGACTAGCAAGGGCCCTCTGGCTGTGCCTGGCTTTAAGGATGATGCATTTTAGAAAGGATGCACGTTCAGCAGTGAAGGTTCGGCTGAGGCAATTCCACGTTGCCATGATTTCCTTTCTTTCACTCCCATTACTTATTCATTCGGCCAGCAGATATTTCTGGAATGTGTGTTCTGTGTTGGACACTATGCTGCATGCTCAGAGAGCACATAGAGAAGGACCCTGCCCTCAGAAAGCATGTGATCTGGAGCTCCTCAGAGCCACTGCCCATGGCTCCGCAGTAAGCCTTGGCCCCCAGAACTTAGACTCCACGTTTCTTGGTCCCTCTACCCTCCTCTGGGATGTGTGTCACAGTATGTGTGTCACATGGGGCATGCCCTATAAACATGCGTTTAAATGCACTGGGGGAGCCCACAGAGAAGGATTGTCCTTTTATAACATAACTACTTGCCCCAACTGCCTGCAGTTTCACCTGTCTGGAAGGTTTTTGCATTTTATATTCCATAAAGTGTTACTAATTCAAATGTCACTATTTTGAACTTTGAGAAAATTGTTACAAAGATTTAAGTAAAGTTTATCTTCCTATTCTTCGGGGAGAACAAAAAAGATTTACTAAGCCAATTAATCATGTAAACAGGCTGAAAGGGAGTCTGTGGACTTACTTAATGTAGTACTTTTCAAGTACATTACAAACATCATTTGGTTAAAATAAAATGAATTCACCATTTGATCATTCTTAGCAGTAAAGGAAGGCCATACACAATCTGTACTGGCCTAGGCTAAGGCTTCCTGTATATTTTAAAGGATTTTTTTTATTTAAAGTTACTAACTTTGGATTCTCAGTTCCTTCCATACTGGTTCCCCAGTAGTCTGAATTGTTGAGCTTTTCCCAAATCAGGTTTCTTAAAGCCCGGCACAGCCATGCACGCAAGTTCTAGAGGCATTACGTAAAAATGAGAGTATTCCTCCTCTCATAAGAAGCCTGTTTTCCCCAAGTTAGTGCTTCTCTTTGCTTGTATGCTTTCTAAGAGAATACTGTTTTCCACAGTGTGTTGAGTGCTGTTTATTGAGTCTGTCCCTTAGAGAAAGAAAGTAACAGTCCTGAAAATATTTAGAATTTAAAGCAGAAATTCACTCAATTTACATTTAAGAAAAAATGAAAAAGTTAAATATATGTACATTTTGCATTAGCTTTGAACAGAAAGCTTATATCTGTCTTTGATGGTTAATGACCTGGACGCTTCACTCCATCATTACCATTTAGTAAAGAGTGTTTCCATCCAGGGATCATTGAAATGTGACTTTTAATGACAGTATTTCTGCATTAATTTGTTTAGAAATTGGATGCTTCCTCAATTCATCGTTTTGGTGTACAGTAAAGTGGGAAGTCGTCTTTTAGCTTTCCCAATCAGAAATGCTTGGCAAGGTGGATATTTTTTAATGACTTAAAAATCACAGGGGAAAAAGTGATTCTATTCCTTGCCTCACCGTGGAGGTTTTGGTTGCTAAATCAGCCATAGGTATTTTTCCCTGTAAGACCATAAACAGAGCTCCTGAACTTAACACGAAGCAAACTGCATACCGCTGGAAAGCTTGGTGGGTACCCCCATTAGCTGATGCATTTAACAAGCTAGAGGTTAGGACTCTTAGAATTCAGCAGTGTGGATCACATCCCTTTACAGCAGTGGTTCTCAACTGGGAATGATTTGTTCCCTAAGGACATTTGGCAATGTCTGGAGATATTTATGTCACACTGGGGAGGTGCTACTGGCATCTCTTGGGTAGAGGCCATGGATGTAGCCAAACATCCTATACAACACAACACCCCCCAGCAGAAATTACCCAGCTCCTTCCCCTTTTTATCATCCTGCAATAAAATTTAGGGGTCTGAAGCATTGCTTCAACAGTGGGCTACTGATTGGGACTTGGACATAACATAGAATACATCAGAGCAGCTAATCAGCTTCTTTCCAGCTGTTTCTTGGGGTTCTCTGGCTTCCTGCAGGATGGTAGACCTGAGCAAATAGGCTCAATTCTAGGGCACTGCCTGTATTTGAGCCAAAGTACCTCTGCTTTTAACTTTGAGCTTTTGAGTAAGACCTGATTTGTTTTTAAGTGAAAGAAAGGAAAGGAAAGGGGAAAAGAAAAGAAGAAAGTGGAGTGGGAGGTAGGGGATGGTTTCCATCTTAAAAGAAGCTTGAAAGCTGGTCCAGTGCTCTCATTTTACAGATAGAAAAGCTAAGGTGTACCTAGGGAAGTCAGCCCAGAGGCCTCCCTGTTAGAGGCTCTGGATTTAGCTCCCAGTCCCCTGATTTCTAGATTGCAGCTTCAGACTGCACCACATTGCCTCTCGTCTTCAGGTTCTGACACTGGTGGGTTTTGTATTAGCAGAGCATTTGTGGTTGTGGTATTCGAGCTCTGCTTCCTGTGGCACATGCCCAGTGTTTGCTTATGTAAAACCCCTGCATCAGTCATTAGACACTGTTTCAAGTATTACATGTTTTACCATTGAGAAACTAATAACCCTAATTTCCTTTTCAGGACTGTAGATGTCATGTCACTCCCTTTCTTTCCCAGGTGTTCAGCTCCCGACAGGCACTGAACGGCCATGCCCGCATCCATGGTGGCACCAACCAGGTGACCAAAGCTCGGGGTGCTGCCCCCTCTGGGAAGCAGAAGCCTGGAAGTGCTCAGAGTGGGTACTGCTCAGTGAAGAGCTCGCCCTCTCACAGCACCACCAGCGGCGAGACAGACCCCACCACCATCTTCCCCTGCAAGGAGTGTGGCAAGTAGGTGGGATTGGGCCAGGGACTGAATCTAAGTTGGTGATGGATAATTGCTCTGTGGGGACTGGGCCAAGATGCTCTGAGGTTTCTTCATCTAGAAAAAAAGACCTAAAGTCTCCAAATTCTCCATCATACCATCCTGAAGGTCTGCATGGTGCCTCAGGGTAGCAGACCTTGTCTCTGACTCAGAATATTATCATTCCAATGTCGTATAGCCTAACGAGGATGTCTTCAGACAGCAAACCTCTAGCAACAAAACTTCACTTCCAGAAAGGATGGATGGGGCTCTGCTTCGTTCTTCTTCCCTTCACACCAAACTGTATGCACTAGTTGCATCCATGCTGAGAGATTTGAGTGGCTCTGAAACACCTAATCAGGAACTCTCCTACCACTCACTACTGGCTCATTCCTGTGCCCAGGGCAGACATCACTAATCAATTACTACACTCTCTGCTACCACGTTAAGACAACACTTAAAATACTTTCCTTTGTAATGCTTTAAGCTAGCACAACCAATTGATCAGAGCTGACTCATGAGATAAAACCTATTTGTCATCCCTGCTCTTTTAAGTATAATTTACAACAATTAAGGGGAAAAAAAACTGACAGTAGGTAGTAATAATAGCAGCTAACATTTACTAAGCAGTTATTTTGTTGTGTACTTTATGCGCATGAGCTCATTTAATCCTCATTTAGAAATGCCACATGATGTGGATAGTGTTTTTTTCCTCATTTTACAAATAAAGATCGAAAGTTAGGTAAAGTGACTTGCCACAGGTCATGCCCCCCGTAAGAGCAGAGCTGAGATTTGATTGAACCCATTCACGTTCAAATGCAGAGCCTGGGCTCCTGACCACTGCTCCATCCTGTTGGTTTGCTTTGTTTGTTTACTTGAGGTAAAAAATAGCATTAATGGTAAGATGCACACAGTTCCCTCCAATAGCATCCAGTGTCGAATTCCAGTGTACTTCTCAGTGAGCCTGTCTCCCTTGGAGGGTCTATCACAAGTGACTTCCTTTAGGAGTCTTGCTGAGTTCCTCTTCCTGTTCCAATGCCTCAAAAGTGAAGAGAACTGTTACCTGCGAGACATCAACCAGGTAGCTGCTAGAGGTCTACCAAGACATCCCTTGGTGTATGAGTGGGTCCTCTACTTATACTACTTATCCTCATAGAATATTTCAGGCAACTTAATAAGTAGCCGCCATTTATCAGCTGCTCACTGTTTGCCTGGCATTGTTTTAAAGGGGTTTTACATGCACTGATTAATTTATAGTAACCCACTAACGTAGGTGCTTTTAGGGACTTCTTTTTTACAAGCAGAGAAACTGAAGCACAGGAAGGGTGAGCTGCCTGTCACGGTGCACAGCTGAGGTGCGCCTGACACCGTGCAGGCCTGCCCAGACTGCATTCTAGCCTCTGAGTCAACCCCACTCTGAGTGGCTCACCTGCCACAGGGTGTTGGGACTAGGGGCTCTCTTTCCCTTTGTGAAGTGCAGAGATGGGGACATGGATTCAGGGGTCAGCCCCCTTCCTCTGTGCCCTGATGTCCTTCAGAGCCAGGACATGGTATCATTTTCATGTCATCATGGAAGAAATGAGCCCCCAGATTGATCATTAAGCTTATTTACCTGATATAATGGACCCTCAGGTGACTGCCATTTCCTTCCACCTGTTTGCCCGTGGTGGGATGTCGGGGGGCTTGGGCCCTGCCACTTTCCTGAGAGTAGCCCGCACCCTCCCCACCCTCTGCTCACACAGGCTACAATGCCTCATTCCACCAGGTGGAGGAGACAAAGGACATTTTAACAAACAAAAATTAGAATTTCAAGCTCTCTGGCTGGTCTTTCAGTGACATCCATTCTGTGTTTTTCTTGTTTTTATGTTGCTTGGGACCTTTTTCTACCATAACTCCAGTTAAGATTTTATGGAAAATAGAAATGTACCCTGGTGGTTCTCCGGACGAGCACTAACATTAGGGAAATGTCTGCAGAATGCCTCTTTCAGCTGCTGAAATTATATTCATGACATCAAGCAATGTTCAGTATATCCAGTTGTGGTGTACCAACTGTTTGACTTGGGCCTTATAAATCAGGGTGTTTTTTTTTCCTTTATGAGCCCAGGAATCAATACAGAGTATTTATGCCACCCCCCACTCAAAAAACAGGCAGTCTCACAGTAGGCAAACTTTTTCTGAAAAAGGTCCAGATAGAAATACTTCAGATCTTGCAGCCCGTACTGTCTCTGTCCCAACTACCCAGCCCAACCATTGACCATACCTAAAGAGGTGTGGCTGTGCTCCAGAAAAACTTAGTTTACAGAAACAGGTGGTGGGCTGGATTTGGCCCACCGACCATAGTTTGCAGGTCCCTTGTCCCAGGGTTTCTCAGCCTCAGCACTAACACTGGAGTCTGATAATTCCTTGTTTGGGGAAGAGGACTGCCTTCAACCTTGTAGGATATCTAGCCATGGTCTCTACCCATTAGATGCCAGAAATACCCCCCCTCACTTGTGACAGAACATTACGAAGATGTTCCCTGGGGAGGCAGGTCACCTGAGAGTAGTGATTCTCAGCTGAGAACCACTATTTCTTTCTGAAGTAAACAGCAGGAACTTACAGTACTATGATGGCCAACAAGAAGGGAACTTAGGTGAAAAGTGTGAGGGAACAGCTCAGATGTCAAGTATAATGTAAAGAGAGGAGGGGGCCATTGGGTTCGGCCACAGAATTACTGGTGAAGCACTTGAGATGCACACTTGGGCAAAAAAGTGCAGGGGACAACTGTCCAGGTGGAGAGGGTGGAGAAAGAAGGAGCTATACCAAGGATGTGCAGGCCGGTCGTCCAGAAGGTAGACTGGGGAAGAATGTGACAGACACTAGTGGTGGATGGTTGGCCATTCCTGATGGGAGCTACGAGAGCTTGGCAGGGAGATTTGGGGATTCTGGGATTGGCCAAGAGGACTTGGTTAATTATGGAGAAAGAAAGGGGGAAGCTGAAGGAGGAGATGGGCCTTGTGCTCCAGACACAGATGGACAGGAATTCATGTTCCGTTGTCACAGGGAGGAAGCCTGACACTCTGTAAATGTGTTCCTGTCCCCATCCATTTTCCTTTGCTGCTTGGAGGAGAGAGGGGTGAGGTGGCAGCTCAGGGGGTCAGGAAGTCCTAAGAGCTAAGGAGTCAGGTACTCAGTCAAAGCCACTCTAAACAGATGTTAGACCATGCACCCTTATTCCCTGTAGGACACCCACATTTCCAAGAACTTAGATCCCCTAAATTTCACATGCTTTTCCTCCATTTTTAGAGTCTTCTTCAAGATCAAAAGCCGAAATGCGCACATGAAAACTCACAGGCAGCAGGAGGAACAGCAGAGGCAAAAGGCCCAGAAGGCGGCCTTTGCGGCCGAAATGGCAGCCACGATCGAAAGGACTACGGGGCCGGTGGGGGCACCAGGGCTGTTGCCCCTGGACCAGCTGAGTCTCATCAAACCTGTCAAGGACGTGGACATCCTCGATGACGACGTTGTCCAGCAGTTAGGAGGAGTCATGGAAGAGGCTGAGGTCGTGGACACCGATCTCCTCTTGGATGATCAAGATTCAGTTTTGCTTCAGGGTGACACAGAACTATAAAGCCCTGTTTGTCACTCGGAGACAGCAAAACCCCACAGCCTTTGTCTTCATTATTCAGGAAACCTGGACTGCCTGCTTGTTTTGTAACCATTTTTAACTACCTGTTTAAAAAGTGGTTGTTTTATTCAGGTTTAGAAAAAAATTCCAGTTTCTTTTCCTTTTATTAAAAAAAAAAATTGTTTTTTGTGGGAGGTTGGGTGGAATAAGTAATTGGCTGGCACAACTCTGTTTAAGAGGTATTTCTTCTGGGCTACATTCCCATGAACTCATTCCTGGCAAGGCATGAACCTGACGTTCATGTTCTTTTGCTTTCAGATGTCAACCATCCTGGTTACCTTTTATCCCAAAGCTTGCGGCAACTGTACGTATATGTATGTGCGAAGCAGGCCACCTTTGGCCATCCTTTCCCACCAAGAGTTATTTTGGTTCTGTTCTGACCTCACTCTGTAGTTCGCAGTGAACTTGGAGACTTTGCCAGGAGACTCTGTGCTTTCCAGGGGGTAGCTTTCCAGGGAGCAGAGCAAGCTCTCGTGGTCCACAGCTTTCTGCTAGCACACGGGTCATCTGAAAAGTTGCCCAAATGTGAAAATAAGTTTCCTTCCTGCTTTGCCTGTCACTCATTGGCCTGTTTCTAGGAACTCAGTACTGTATATGAAATTTCCGGCTTTCACTCCACAGCAATGATCTACTAAGGACCTCGTAGAGTAAGTGTGTCCTCAGTCCATGTTCCCTGGGGACTGATTGGCTTCCTGAATTGGCACAGCTGTGTCTCGGCATGAGCCATCTGGAGGAAAATAACCCCAACTATTAAGTTACCGGGGTGCTTTTTAGGGAGGGTGGTGGAGGGGCACTCATGGGAATACCTGGGTGCCAAGTGTTCTCTGCCCCAAAATTAGATGGGAGGAGCCCATTCTTTTTTGCAACACTGTCAGTCGTCAGTGGAGTTCTGAAATGACTATGTGCCACTTGGAAGTACTGTGAAACCTCATTCACTGGGATTTTGCTGTAATTCACCAATGCTGGATCAAAGTTTAGCTTGATGCAAGCTCTGCAAAAAGGGGTTTTCTAACCAATTTGGTAGCAAATAAAGGGAAATAGCATTAAAGGGAAACAAAAAATGGTTTCAGATACCACTTCAGCTGCAATGTTTGCATTCAAACAATGAATGTATTCATTAAAGTCATTTACCAAAGCACTTCTAGAATTCTCCAAGCTACATAACTCTGCTCTGCCTCCTCCTGTCCCTGTAGCAGGGTTGCTGTTTGTACTTGAAGGGAATAAACCTGTAATCCTTCACAAATGGCATGTAGCTCAGGCTTTTGAGCTGAGTCAGACTGCTCCATCCCCATTAGGGTACGTGAGTGTGCACCTTCAGACTGGGAGGCAGCCCCTGTGCAGAGAGACTGCTGCTGGCAGCTCCCCCTTGGTATGAATGCTTCCTGACTTCCAGAATGGGGGCTTTCAGGCCTTGCCTCACCCCCAAGTAGGTTGGTTCCCCCGTTCCTGTAGATGGGGCAATCATTTCAGGCCACTTGGCTGGCACATTAATAGCTTGGCATTAGAATGTCAGTGGAAGCATGAAGATGGGGCCTGATCATCTTTTAAGTTTGATTTTGCAAAAGCACACCGTCATGGCCCACAGCGACCCCACACAGGCAGTGTTCTCTGAATCTCAGGAAAGCCATGGACAGAAAATAAATACAAAGATTCTTTTCATTTCCATCATTCTGTTTTCAGAAAAGAGGTGTTGGAGGTTTCCTTCATCTTTTCTTTAGGGAAAAAAAAATGTCTTTTTTTTTTTTAATTTGCTGCCATTTCAGATGGGTCATTCTCTCGTATGCTTTGGGTAGGAGCTGTCCAGGCAATGTGCATCAGCTTTGTGGCAGAACTGCTCCAGGACGATTCCAACTGTAATATCGGCTGATCACATCTATCCCAGTGACTGCTTCCCTCCGCTTGAAGGTGTCAGAGTGATTCTGGAATGGTTCTGCTACTGGGTTTATGGAAGCTTGTCTATCAAATGAGACAACACCCAGAAAAATGCTTATAAAGCAAATGTATTCGTCCTGTTTGGAGACTTGCCCAGCTGTTCCAGTTTTAAACATTAAAAATAACTGAATTGCTAAGGCAAAAATATAATGCATAATTTAATTTTGATTTTTCATGCAGTATGGTGTAAGCAGTTTTTACTTGAAATAACCAAAGAACTCCTCCTCAATGGGACAGTTCAAATTCCTGAATTAGTATTTCTTGATACCAACTTAAAATTTTGACTTCATGGTAAAATATTGCACTTAATTTTTTTTTCCTGAAATGATTCTGCCTGCATGTATGTGTTGTGTTTTAGCTTCCCCCTGACCCATCCCCCACCCCAAAGAACTTTTCTTCCTAAAGGTTAATGTCTTCAACATGGTTACTGTTTACTTCAGATGGTTTTTCATTAGTGAATATAGACCTCTTTGAGAAAGCTTGTATATAAAAAGTTAACAGATATATTTTATGGAAAAACCCATCTTATTTTCAGATATATTTAACTGCTGTTATATTTTATTAGAGGAAGGTTGTAAATATTTTCTAGGAGTTCTATTGTAAAGAAAAGTATTTTTGAAAAAAATTAATGTAATAAAAACAAAAACATTTTTTAATAGTGGTTGTGATTGCTTCCTGTTCTGACTTCATTATGTTCTATTCTCAGCAAATGACTTTGCATGCTTTCCCATTTCAGGATGTAATTTATTCAGGTTTGCACTATATAAGTTGACATCACAGTATCTAGTGTGCTTAACTGTATTTTCCCCGGAATGCAGGTCCCTTGGTCCATATTGAAAGCACTTATGTATAGCATATTCATAATTTTTCTTTTGTAATGTGTGTATTTTTAATAAGGATTTTATGTAACATTTTGGCAAAATAGAGGACAGTATTTTCTAGTGAATTTTATAATACATTTTGCTAAAAAGGTTTCTTCCTAGTTCAGTTTTTGTTAAGGTGAGCCAAAAGTCTTATTTTACCAGGGGTTTTAAAAAAAGTTCAAAGCTTGAAAGCAAAGTTATATTTAAACATCACATGTAACAAATAAAAAGAAGTTTTACAGACTCGTCCTCAAAAGGTGCATTCCTTAAAATCAAAAACAACTGTGGCATTCTAAGTTGTTTTTCCCTGAGTGATAAGCATTTTTTTAAATGATCACAATACTTTTTTTAGAAAGAGAGCCAGAAGAATTTTATTGAAAAGATTCCAGTCATTAGCCACCTCAGAAATTTATTACAGTTCTATAGATAGGCATTCATCAAGTAAGAGATGTAACCAAATAGAAACTGTCCTATTTATTTGTGAAAACCTGATTCAATATTGCATCAGCTGCTCTGAAAATAAAATGTTATCTTTTTGAGTTTCATTTGGCTTAAACATTCCTTCTTTCTAGACACTGAAATGGCTTCTCAATGATGGATAAATGCAAATGTACCTGTTAGTTGGTTTCTGTAGACTGGTTTAGAAGTCTGCTGGTCAGATTGAATGCTCATCAGAGTGCCTCCAGGCCAGCCAGGACATACTTTCCTGCTACTGAAACAGCAGATGAGCCCCTTGAAGGGTTAGTGGTCTTGAAACTGTAGTACTCAAACTGTGGTTTAGGGGAGTTCAGTATTACACCCAGGTATCTCAAGGCCCAGCCCACCCTGGTTTTTATTCATTGTTAATCTGGATTTCCAGATTCTGAAGAGTCTGTTTACTTTTTAATGGTCAACAACCAATTTAACATAAATCTGAAATTCTGGATTTTATACAGAATTTGCTTTAGGTTGAACGTACTGTTCAAGACCTTGATCTAGGTTCTTTGGGGTTTTTTTTTTTACTTTAATTTTAGCTATCAATTTAAGGTAGTCCTATATCAAATTAAATAGCTGTTCCTCTAGAATCGGTGCATATTTAACCAGTGTTGTAAATTTAAATTCTGCTTCCAGAGGCTCTGGTATCCTATCTGAAAACTTTTTCCTACTTTTGTATTCATTCATTCAGTATTCATGAGCCCCATGTCCAAGACACTATTCCACACTGTATTATACATGTGGAAAGTGTATAAAGATGACTGTGACATTACTCCTTCCTGCCAAAGAATTTATTACTTAGAACACACAAGGGCCTGGGACCTGGTCCAGTTCCACCATTGGGAAAAGGAAACATCCTGCTACATTAATATTTTGAAGCCCCTCACCATCACCAGCACACACAGCAATTCATAGTAGGTGCCCAGCAAGTACTTGTTACATTAATTAATCACCTTTCTGATCTTTCAGGTTTTGCTTATCCATGTGTGTGGATGTAAATGAAACCTTTTGAGTTCACTTAAAGTCAATTCTGAATTCCACAAATTCCCAGTCTACCTTCCTCAGCCATAGCCAGCCAGCTGGGGTGTACCGATGAGTTTTAATGTTGACATAAGCAAAACATAATTAGGAAAGAATGTTAAGAAACTGAGTAATATATCCCTCAGTGAAACGTAAGTGATCTTTGGATCACAAATATCTAGTAAAAAAGAGCCAGAGGGCTGATTATTTCCTTTATATAAGAGAGAATCTTTTGTAAAGGGCTGTCCTCCCCATTCCTGCCCCCAAGTAAAGTGTTGAATATTTCTGCTTGAGTTGTAAAAACCAGAGCAGCCATAGATGCTTGTTTTGCATCCAAACACACATATCGGTACATAATACACTGATCTTACTTTAGCCAAAAAGCTAAATGGGTCATTACTTCCTGTGCTTGTCTAATTTTATTTTTAGCAATATTTCCATCTTCTTTTTTTAAACTGGTTTGTTGAGATGTGATTGACATAAAAAGCTATATAAATTAACATATACAACTTGAAGAGTTTGGAGATAAGTGCACAGCTGTGAAATCATCACAATCACAGGAAAAGGCTGTCTTTTAAAACAAAAACTGGAGCAATCAAAATATGCTTTTAGTTAGAAATATTTGATGCACATACTTATATTTTTCCTGGATATACAGCAAGGCATATTTACATCATCTAGAATCATTTGGCATCCTGCTCTGCTCATCTACAGTAGGTCAGATGTTCGAAAGTTTAGATCGTAGGGGAAGGACCCATAATGGATAGGCCAAGCTTCAGAACACTGTCATTGCCCACACACCATGCCAAAGAGCCCTGCCCACAGTCCTATTAGGAAGACCTGGTTTTGCCCCTCACAATGACTCCCACCTTACCCCTAGCTAACTGGACTTGGGTTGGCATCTGACCTCAAACTATCAGGCACATAGGTCCTCTGGTAACACATGACATGACATAGCTCAAAAAAATGAGGGGACCAAGTCAAATTCCCTCGTTTGAGAGTATGAATTGGTAAACTTGGTGAGCCAAAGGCAACAAGCAGGGGCCATATTATAAGACAGTTATAAGGAAGCATAAGCTATTTTTAAGCAGAGAAAAACTATCAATAAAGAGACTATATTTGGCCTTAGGACTCTCCTTTGAGTCCACATTTCCAGTGCCAGGAGCAGTTCAAGCAACTCATGTCTTAAATAAAAATATAAATAAAAATAAATGCTTTTTCCTCGCAGGGGGCTGGGGAGTGGGGACCTTTATTTCACAACTCCAAAAAAGACCAGATAGAACTGGACCTCGTTATAGAGTTAGCCCTACCCTACTGCAGGAGCAAAAAAACAAGGCACTGAGCTAGGATTGTGAAGATGGTTATTGGTTCAGCTGTAACTAATTCACTATATAACTTTGAGTGAGCCATTTCATCTCTGAGCCTGCTTCCTTACCTATAATATTAGGATAAAATTTATGTCTTCTTGCGAGGATCAGATCAGGTAATGTAGGTAAAAGTCATTTGCAAGCCATAATGTCATCATCGTTGCGGCTGCAGAATCCTCACTCAGCTGAGACTACTCGATGTGGACACAGACAGGCTGAGGAGCCATCCCAGAAGCACCACAGAGAGACTGATGCAAACTTCCAAAGCAGCCACAAAGGTGGAGAGCTATCAGAAACCTCACTGGCCAAGGGAGACCAGCCAACTTTGAATGTCACAATTCAGAGAGGGAGCCTAGTTCTGAAAAGGGCACTGGGCAGTCGGCCAAGATGGGGCACATCCAAAAACAAGGGGAAGTGTGGTGCTGCCACACTCTGGGCATCTCTGCCTGACCTCCACAGGGGCTGAGTTCAAGTGAGTAGACGCCAGTCTGAGGAGCAGGAAAACTGGCTTCTGGTCCTAGATCTTTCCCAGTTTGTGTGATGTGGGACAAATCATTCTACCTCTTTCTTGGCGCTCCTGCCTGCAAAATAGGGTAAGGAATATCTACTTGCGACAAGAAAAAAAAAAATTCACATTTGCACAGGACTTTACATGCCAAAAAAAGTTCTCACAAACTTAACCTTTTATTTTTAACCTCAGCAATCTTGCAAGGTTAGGTCTCTCATAATCTTGCAAGCAACTTTATGTTGCAAATAGTGGATGACATTTATCCTGCATGATAATGTGCTGGAAACTGTACCAAACGTCACCCATCAGTATCCCATTTAATCCTCATTGCAACCATCTGAAGTAAGAACTATTATTATCTCTTGTTGACACATGTGAAAATTGAGGATCAGGGCGGGGGCATAACTTGTCCAAAGTCAGTCAGCTAAGTGGTAAACCTGAATTTAGAATCCAGATCTCCCAATTTAAAATCTAGAGTGTTCCATTAAGTTAAGGTGTACATGTGAAAGCACTTGGGGAAAATAAAGCTTAGGGAATTGCACAAACAGAAGAAATCTCTATTTTAGCAAACCCGTTATGAGTCTTATTAGTTGTAGCTAAAATATGGTGGACATTAATAACCAGACATTTTGTGGTTATAATACCTACTGGCTTGTGGTACTAGCTGAAGGCAACCATTGTAAATTCCGAAATACTAGAGTGACATAAGAAAATGAAGATTTAGGAAGATAAGTAGGACAGTAGGATGATTGGATCACAAAAATGTCAATCAGTGTGGGGAAGGAAGGTAGGATTAAGGAACATGTACAGGCTATATCACAGTGAGGTAAAGGGATGGGACCTGGGCTCACTGTAGACTTTTCCTTTTAACGAAATATAAATTTTTGTAAAATTTTGAAAAATACATAAGTAGAAAAATAAATCAACCATTAATCCACTACCCAGAAATAACGGATGTTAATACATATTTTTTTCCAAGTATGTGTTTTGTTATGTTTGCCGCCAGAAAAACAGGAACCATATAGGACAAACACAATTTGAAGAGGAAAGCATTGATGGAACTTGGCAATTATCTAGATATGGGCTGAAGCCACTTTATCAAGACTGTGCATCTGCAGGCAGCCGCCCGGGGAAGTGCCCAGAAGTGTTCTCTATGCCACCCTCAAGAAGCACATAATGTCTCTATGGTTGTTCCTGTGCCGGAACACAAGGCTATACTCTCTCCTCTTGGGGAACTCTATGGTCCGAGGATGCGGCTGTGACCCCGGAACTGATTCTGGGAGGCCGGGACGACAAGATGGCAGCGCGAGCAGTGCTGGGGGTCATGTGCCGGCATCTCTGGCAGGTACCTGGCGGGCTTGGGAGAGTAGGCGCCGACAGGGACAATTGCCACTGAATCTGACTGCCACCAGGTGTTCTGCCCACCTGGAGTCTTCCTGATATTTATTCCGCGTCTCGGCCCATTGTTTACAGGAAGGTGGAGAAAAGAGGGCTGGTTTTCTCTTTTAATTCTCATGGGATACAACATAAGTTAATGAATCAGGGCGAAGACAGGAAAAAGAAGAATCGTAGAATGTCAGAGCTGGAGAGGATGTTGAGCATAAATACGTTCCAAGCCGCTCTTGATTGACGTTTGCAGAACATACTGAGGCTCAAAGAAGACGGAAAGCTTGTCTCGCGAAAATTAGGCGCTGAGCTGGCACGAGATCTTAGACACTTGACACGAAACCACATTGCGATACTTTCCTGATATCTGGGGATTCTGAGATTTATATGAGAGTCGCTGAAATCGGAGGAGTGGCTTAGTGGTTTAGATATCCAGTGCGCTGTTTTGGGGAGAGAAGCGAAAACTTAAGCTGCTGTTCTCAAATTATTTGGCCCCAGCAGCTCTTTACACTCTAAAAGTAGCTGAGGATTCCGTAGAGCATTTTTGGGGAGGGGGGAGGGGCTAGCTATCAATATTTAGCTTATTAGAAAATAAAACTGAGAATCTTTAAACTATTCATTTAAAATAACGATAATAAACTCATTACATGTTAACATAATTAATATTTTTATGGAAAATAACAACTTTCCAAAACAAATTTAGTGAGAAGAGTGGCAATGTTTTGTTTTTGTAAAATCTCTTTTTAATGTCTGGCTTAATAGAGGATGGCTAGGTTCTCATCTGCTTCTTTTGCTGTATTACACATCATGCAGCCTCTGGAAAACTTCCCTGTACACGGGTGAGAATGAGAGTGGAAAAGCTGCACTTACTAGTATTATGAAAATAGTTTTAATCTCCCAGTCTTGAAAGTGGCTCAGGGTTCCTCAGATCACACTTGAAAAAGTTTGATGGTGTTCTTCAGAAAAATCAGATGGTGTTAGTGGTTGAAATTTTGAACTACTAAGACACACCCTACCCCACTCCACCCCCTTTTAAAATAAAAAGGAAAGAAAACTTAACTTATAAATGAAATAGCCCTTTAGGCTCCAACGTTACAAGCAGAGGTTTATGCTGGGAGAATGAGACTGAGAAGTGTCAGATTCCTTATACCTGTGGTCCTTTTACACAACTGAATTGTGGGGTCAGCAGAGCAGATGTGGGGAATGGCGTATATAGTCTTACTGCCTTGTATTGTGCCTGCTTTCGTTTACTCTTTGTTTTTCCACCTTGATCCAAGGAAGAATGTGAAAGTAGGTTTGCCTCCATCTTAGGTAAAGAAGGGAGGACGATATACTAAGAATAGGCTTAATTTTAGCATACTTGGATGATACACAGTGTTTTAAGTTTCACTTGTACTAAACTGTTACTTACACCCTCAGTATTTTTAAGGGTCCTCTTGTGCTTCCAACTTTCTCAGGTTACACTTTGAAATCTCAGGAAAGCTTAAAGGAAAAACAGATGGCAAATTACTTTTATACAGTACCACAGGTTTCCTACAACTAGAAGTTTTGTTCCACCAGGGGGAGCGGACAATAAAGGATTTGGAAATGCTGGATTGTTGCAGTTGGAGGCACAGTAGTGATGTAAATTGGATATAAGTTTAATGTGTATTTCAGTTTATTTGTAAGCTAAATTATCCCAGCCAAGCCAAGACATACATATGCTGGAAAAGATGTATGAAAGCTTCAAAAGAAGGGTACTTGAGAATTCTTAATCCAATTCTTAGTCAATTAAGTAATTTTTTTATTGCTCAAATAATATTTAGGCAAAATAAGTATTACAATAAGTACATTTAATCTTAAAAAAAATTTCTGGAGAGATGAAGTCACATTTTTTCCTTGATGTCCACATACTTAGTTCGTATCTCTCCTTTTAATGTGAGAATCGCTGTTCTGAAAGAGTTCTTGCTCCTGAGCTTTAAAAGTCCTTATAAGAGTATTTTAAGAGTCCTTTTTGATTATCAACTCTACTATTGTCCTGGTTCTTTTTTTTTTTTTTTAAGATTTTTAATGAAATCCAATCTGGCATTTTAGTTACCCTAATAACATCATCTGAAATAATGAGATCACCCTTTTTTTTGAAGCATAGTACATCTTTTGATTTTGAGTGGAAACTATGAATGGTTTGGGGATTGACTTTAATTCTAACACATGTTTCCCCTCCCCCCTTTTTTTTTAAGGGTTCAGGGAAATTATCTGTAAACTGTTCTAAGAGCAGTACAGCTAAATACGGTGGCTTTCTTCAGTAAGTATATAATTGGATGTGTTAAATTAGTACAAAGGTGGGCTCTTGTCTGTTTCACTTAGGTTTCTCTTTGTTTGCGCACATAGCAGTACAAGTATGAAGTGGGTACAGTTTTCAAAACTACACGTTGATGTTCCTAAGGATTTGACCAAGCCTACGGTACGTACTCCCCATTTCTTGACATAAAGAGATGTATTAGCAATAAGTTTTCCTCTTTATTTTATTTGTGGCTATTTTCCAAACACTTCATAAATAAAAAAATGTTGTTCTGGAGTACTGGCAAATGCACGCTGTGCCTGAGTAAAGTATTCTCTAAGGTTCCTGGATGCTCATATTACTGTTCAGGCTATCAAGGTATGTTTTAAAGGCATAATTTCTTTACCCCCAAATAACCATGGGAAGAGCAGGCTTTTGTTTTTAGCTTAGCATAATGTGAAAAGTTGTCATAATTAGTGATGCAGAATACTTGATATTACGTTACAGAAAAAATTTTTTCTTGTAGCTGTTGAGTTGGCTTTGTTTTTACTCTAAGACATTGAGCCTGGGCCTGGAAAATGCTATGTTGTTCACAGTGAGAAAGAGAATTACTCTTACCACAAGTAAAGGAAGCCTAGAAGTGGCTGTATAATCTTGTGTCCTTTAACTGAAAGCTATGGTTCCATCAATGAAGTTTTGTGTTGTTTGTAATTTTTAAAACTTACAAGTCCAAATCTTTCTAGTTCAACCCCTCAAAAATAATTCCCTTAACACTCTGGTATGAATCCTAGACGTTTATCTATATGTAATCATAATACCTATGCACATGCACACCAAAATGGAATTGTGTTCTGCATAAGGTACTGCTGTTTCATTTTAACAGAAATGGACATATTTCCCTAACAGTACACTTAAACTCCCAGTCTCCAGCTTGAATGCCCGCATGGGCCAGGCCTGTAAGGAAAGGCCACAAGGTGGGCATGGTGGCAAGCTGCCTTTCTGCAGAACAACTGCTATTTAGTCACTTATTGCCGTGTGGGAAATCAGAGCTAGTAATGCAAGGTTGTCTGAATTTTCCAAGCTGGACTGAAGTTCACAAATTTTTATGCAAAATCTCCTAATTTTTAATACTTCTAATATTCAAAAAATATCTTTGTAACCATATAGGGACCAGTCAGACCACGCCTTAGGGCTGTATGTCCCCTCCTGTGTTACTCCACTTAAGAGATAGAATGTCAGTATATTCTCTTCTACCAACAGTCCTACTTGGGATAATTGAGAGTAAATGTCTAGCTTCCTGGTTAGTAAGTAGAGTTCCTTTTGGGGTAAAGTAATTTAACCTTGAATCATTGGATTAGTAATATAAATTACTGCTTTAATGGATGAAGGAAGTGAGGGTAATTCACCTCTTGGAAGAAAATCAGAAATGTCAAACCCATTATTTCTTGGATCTTTAAGTATTAGAGTGGAAGAAGTTAAATGTACAGTCAGTGTCATAACAGTTTGATTAGAAATTAGTGATTTTTCTATTAGGGCAGGCAAAACATACATGAATAAAACAATAAAAAATATAAATAGCAATAACTCGCCTTTATAGAACAATGTTTTATCATTTGTGAGCACTTTGATCTGTTTTCTTATTTGTTCCCTACAGAAATGTTCGGAGCTATAGCATAGATGTTACCCCATTTTATATATGAGAAAATTTCAAGTGCAGTGAGATTATATGACTTGCCCATTGTCATTCAGCTAGAAGTGGCAGGGTTTAATTTTCATCCACATCTTCTGACCAGGCTACTTTTGTTAACATACCCCAAAATTCTTTCACACTGTGTATTGGGGGCTCAATCACTACTAAGTTAGAAGGTTCCATTAGTGATTTTGCAGGTTACTTGCAAGTCTACTTTTAATAGACTTTCAGTGTTAAAATACAAACTATATTTTAACAGATATTAAGCTTCATTGTGGAGATCTGAATGTGATAATTACTTAAACTCGAGATATTTAAGCTAACAGTATTAAGATGTTCTCAACATTTTTCTCCCTATTTGTTAGTAAACTCTGAAGTTGTTCAACTGAGGATAATATGTTAAACTTCCCAATTATAAATACTAGAGTAAACATGACTAAAACTTTTCTTTTTTATTTCATGATTACAGATAACCATTTCTGATGAACCAGACACGTTATATAAGCACCTGTCAGTTTTAGTAAAAGGCCATGACAAGGCTGTATTGGACAGTTACGAATATTTTGCTGTACTTGCTGCTAAAGAACTTGGTATCTCTATTAAAGTGTAAGTATGATCTTTCCTTACCTGATCTGTTAGCAGCTGTAACACCATCAATAGGAAAAGGATGCTGACCCCAGCTAGGTTGGAGCTCTTAATATGGAATAGAAGCTCATGGTGGGTTTAGGTTTGTCTTACTACTCTCAGCAGGATCATCTCTTCCTGTCTACTAGAATGAGTCAGCAAGGAAGATGGAGGAAATAATCTCTCTGGGAATGCATAGACATAAGGAGACCCAAGAAGCCGTCATGTCTGGGGTGTCCAAGGGTCAGGGAGGAGAATTAGGTGAACAAGCAGTCCTTTTAGATCCCTTGGATTTGATGGTCTTTGGCTAATATATCATTGTTTCAAAACTGCTTAAAATACCACTCACCCAGTAATTTCATTCCTGAGCAAGGTAAACTTCATACAGCCTTGAGGTCACTGCAGGGTCAGGACAACTACAGTCACCACCCCCCAATCCATGGGGATACATTCCAAGACTCCCCAGTGGATGCCTGTGAATATGGTCTTTCTCTGTCTCTCAAAATATCTTAACTGTACTGTTCTCACCCTTGTGATGATGTGAGATGATAAGGTGCCTGCGTGATGAGATGAAGTGAGGTGAGTGACGGAAGCATTGTGATGTAGGCATAGGCTCCTACTGACCTACTGACAACACGTCAGAAGGAGGATTGTCTGCTTGCTGACTGCAGTTGGCTGCCGGTAGCTGAGAAACTGGGATAAGTGGGGATTACTGTACCTCTGTCTCATCACCCACTCCTTGTGATGTTGGACAAGGCCCATTTGGGACTGGCCAGTCTTGCCTTCTAACAAAACAGGGAACACACACATTTCCCATAACCAACTATGGCTTTGTGATTATTGATATATCTAGATTTTCCTAAAATAGTACATACACAGCAGACATTACAACTGTGCCCAACATATTGGTGCTGCTCTTCACAGTTCATATATTTGCTCAGTAAGGGACTTCAGGGGTGTGTGTGCTTCATGCCAAGGCTCATTTTTGGGTCTGTGGGAAAATGTTCCTATTGCTATCTGTCGTTTGTTTATGTTGGCCTGAGCTTTATGACAAGTTGTCACACATTACAGTCTTGACATACGGCAGTCTGTAAATGGTAGATAATGCCTATAATTGAGTGTGAGCCTGACCTACCAAATTGTGGAATCATGCTGATACCAGTGACTCAGGTTTCAGCATCATTTAGCTCAAGTAGGTTGTTTTGACCATTAATTTTTCAGACATGAACCTCCAAAGAAAATAGAGCGATTTACTCTTCTCAAATCAGTGCATATTTTCAAGAAGCACAGAGTTCAGTATGAAATGAGAACTCTTTACAGATGTTTCGAGGTGAGTTTGTCTCAGACACCGAGTCATTTTTGAAATGCCCAAACTGTCACACTAGCATAGCATAATTTTCCCTGAATATTGACTGAGTTAACATCCTGTCAGGCAGCCCATGCTGATAGTTGTAGAAAAGGTGCATGTCTTTTTGTGTTTATGGAAGCACTGCGGTATGAAAAATCAAACTCACGTATGAAGCCATCCTTTAGAGTAGCTCATACTTTAACTCAGCAGTGCAGATTATGCAGACTGATTTTTATACAATGAGAGAGCAGTAGAATGATTTGCTTATATTTTAAAAAGTTTGGTCAAGTTTTCACACAGTTCTAATCATTCTTTTCATGTGCTAATTGGATTTTCCATGTCTGTGCTGGGCATTATTAAGGTTTTTCATTCATTTGTGTATCCAGTAGGGTCAGCATAGTCTTGTGGTTAAGGTAACCATGGGCTCTGGAGCCAGACAGCCAGGTCCAAGTATTGACACGCAGCAGCTGTGTGACCTGTGCCTCAATTCCTTCATCTGTAGAATAGGAATGATAAGAGTACCCATCCATAATGGCTAGTATGAGATTTAAATGAGATATCAAGGCACTTAGAATACTTCTTTCACATCGTAAATGATTGGTAAATGTACTTCAAACAAGTATGTGCACCTTTTACATTGAACCCCATTGAGGGTACAAATGTGGTAAAGACATAGTCCTACCCTTAAATGAAGAAAAATCCAAAATTGTATCCATGCATGTCTGACAGAAACACCTTGCCATGGAGCACATAGAAAATCTAATGCCAACTTTTATATCAGACTTTTGTTTGCATTTGTCTTGAGTTGTTTTATGAAACTCATTCAGCTTTGAAACGATGCTTGCTAACTGGGTTCCATAGAGCCTGGCTTTAAGGCATTTGGGAGGAAGGGGACTTCAGAGTCATGCTCCCCCCATCCAGTTCAGCCAGAGGATCTACACTTATTTCCTTTTACATTGGGAATCTGTAAGATTTCATAGAGAAAGGAAAGGCTCTCCCACTTTTACCAAAAAACTTAAAATTTCTGCTGTAACAGCATAACATGAACCAATTTCATGTTTGAAATTTTAGTTAGAACATCTAACTGGAAGTACAGCAGACGTTTACTTGGAATATATTCAGCGAAACTTACCTGAAGGAGTTGCCATGGAAGTCACAAAGGTATGACTTATATTTCTACCTCTGTTGGGGAGAGATCTGTATTGTGATTCGTTGCGGTCTGGTCCTGGCTCACTGAGTGGAAGGGGTGGCCTTCGGCAGGCCTGGGCAGCATGGCCACAGTGGTCGGGCCCCCCACATCCCTGTCTTTCCCAGGCCTCCTCTGAGGGCTCCAGACCTGGGACCACATTAATGACAGTCCCTGGAGGTCACTGGTGATCAAACAGATTACATATATAAGAGTGTTTTACATACCATCACATTCCCTTCTCTCTGTTTCAGAGCCCTACAAAAAGGGGCAAGGGTTAAGAGGAAAACATCAGGGGGACTGAAGGGAACAAAATTTACCAATCCAACGTGTGGCTGAAGAGTTTGTTAAGTCCATGTTATATTATAGTTTTGTTTTTCTCTGTTTAGACAAAATTAGAACGGTTACCGGAACACATAAAGGAGCCAATCTGGGAAACGATACCAGAGAAAGAAGAAAACAAGTCATAAAATCTCAGAGGGACCACTTGTGCTAGCCTTTGAAATGAGGGTGGGCCAGACATGTATGTTGAATGGAGAGTATTTCAGTCAAGATGCTTTTGAGCACACCCGACTGCTCTGTTGATGCCACATGCCCTGATCAGTGGAAAAGCAGGGAGTGGAACTTGAATGATACACTGGACTGTAATGAAAGAACCACTTTATCTTCTCTTTTACACTTGCCATTGTTTCAGTTCTGATTTTAACAAGTGTAAGCAACCCATTTTGTCTTGTTACACACCAGAAAACTTATATTTTGTTTGTTATTCTGCTGTTCAATTACCAGTTCATACTGATTTTAACCTATATCATTTCATTCATCTGAAAGTATTGAAAATATTCCTCATACACATTTTTTTTCTTTTACACTACCTAGGAGGAACCTTTGGTTAATACAACACTAAGCAGTTAAAGTTTTGGTATTTACCTTAGTGAAGGCTAGCATATGCTGGTTTGGGCCTGTGAGCTCCAAATTTTACCTCATGTAGACATTACATTCTTGAAAATGAATATACTTTGCAGCAGTTCAAGTACATTAGTGGCGTGCACTGAACTCTTCTTGGAGCCCAGACCCTGACAGGGCTGCCTGGAAGTGTCGCTGTATTGGAATTTGAGCTCAAGATAATACTACTTGTATCATTTGATTCGTCCTGTGGTTCATTCAACAAGCTTTTATTTTGTTAACTTTGCTCCCACGACTATAGTAAATACGAAAAATTAAATAGAATTAATAGCTTTTGAAAATTTAACAAGACACAGGTAAATATTTTTCCTTATTAAGTTCCACATCGTTTAGAAGGCCTCTTTCTTTTGGTAAATGGCACTCTTTTTGTTTGGAGATGTCTACTTTTCCATGAAATTAAATAGTAGTTGAAGCCCTGAAAGAGGCAAGACTTCAATGGGCTGAAACTGTGTGTATCAGCCCCAAGGGAGTGATTTGTTTCCTTTTCACAGAAGAATCAGGTCCATGTCTTTTGTGGTTTCCTTCTCATCTTTGGGGTAGTTATGACTTCTCAGCTTTTCCCCCGTTAAGCTGGAGTCCCTGTTCTCTTTTCCTGACCCGCTATCAGGTATCAGTGTTTTGAATACATACTGCTAATGTATCAGACTTCCATTACTGTCATTAACTTGAGAAGAATTACAGCCTGGTGCCCCATGACCTCATTCTGTTTGCAGCTCAGTTGACTATGTCATTCACAAATGCCTAAAGTGTGCTTATCCCAGGTCTAAGCCTCAGGATTGTGAGGATTGTGATTTATTCAGCCTTTATAACAACTGAGTAAAGTAGCTACTATTATCTCCATCTTACAGGAGAGAGAACGAAGTTATGATTGGCCTACTCAGGCCCTTTCAGTTGACAGATGACTTTGAGATGAAAAAGGAGGAGAAACTGCTTTAAGTTCAGGCTAGTGACAGGGACAGCCCCAGATCCTACCATTTAGAGCTAGTGAATAAGAGCAATATAATAGTAACAATATCTGGGAAAGCAGTAATTTGTGGCCCATTTTAAAAGAAGTAATTCTTTAAAAATAAGACGCACATCTACGCTCTTTTGTGCTTTCTTAGACAGTATTAATCCCTGTGTTACAATAGAATGATTCCTGCACATTCACCTTTTGTGACTCTGTGTGAGCCCCTTTAAAGGTATGCATCTACTTCCAGCTGTTTCAAACTAAGGTAACGCATAAACCAGATTACTCAGCTTAGCACTTCAAATTATATATTAAAACCTCCTTTTAAGATAAATATGTAAACTACACAAGTGACAAAAACTAGTATTTCTTTGACAAAAGTATTTGGCATATTTGAAGCCTAGTTAATATTAACAAGTTGATTTCTTTATCCTGATAGGCTGAAAAAGTTTTTTAAAAATTGGGTCTCCTGAGTAAAAGCCATAGTTTGAAAATGAGAATTAATACCAAGTCTTCTGTCCTTGGTGAGGATAGGAGGTAGTGAGAAAAAAGTGGACAAGGGAGAATGAACCAGAAAACAGGTAGGAAGTGAGATAATTTTTCAGTGTCTAGTTTCAGTGCTTTCAAAGAGAATTACATGTACTTTTGGCCACTTAGACATGCCACAGTAAATACACAAAGGAATTATTTTAAGCCAGGTATCTAATTTCTTAACATTTCTACTTGTCAGCTACCATTCCTCCTCTCCTACATTATATTAATAGTTTTACTACCACATTAATGAGTAGCAGAGTAGTGAAAGCCTGGACTTTGGAATCAGACAGGCATGAGTCAGATAAGAATTCAAACTCACTAACTGCTCTAAGCTTGGGCAAGATATTTAACCCAGTCTGAGCCTCTATTTACTCATTAGGTTGGAGTATTAAATCAGGCATCTTACAAAGCACCTTACACACTACTGGGCAAATAGTAGACATTCAGGAAATAGTTATTACTAGGTGACAGTACAGATTCGATGATACTCCAGATGCTTGTGTGCTAGACTTTAAACACCAGCTGGAAAGGTGTCTCCAAGGTGAGGATAATACTTAGAGTGGCCATGAAGATGAATTTAGAAGAGAAAACATGTAACATGCTTATTACAATAACCACCACACATTATGCCAAGCTTTTACATAGTCATTTACAGTTACTGTTTTATTCAGCCTTTATAACAACTGAGTAAAGTAGCTACTATTATCTCCATCTTACAGGAGAGAGAACGAAGTTATGATTGGCCTACTCAGGCCCTTTCAGTTGACAGATGACTTTGAGATGAAAAAGGAGGAGAAACTGCTTTAAGTTCAGGCTAGTGACAGGGACAGCCCCAGATCCTACCATTTAAAGGCTAGGAGGTACTCGATGTTCACATGCTAAATGCAGAATATTCCAACCTAAAATCCTGATTTGTTAGCAAAATGTATTCCTCTCCCCTAAAGCTTTTATGTAAAGAGATTGATTGGTGGGGAGGGGAGGAAGGGGGTGGAATCTAAGGAATAAAAGATATAAATATGTATGAATAAGCACAAGAAGCATAATAAACAGAGCAGTCCCTGTGGTCTCAAGGCTGGTGCTGGTCCCTGGTGTCTGAGAGGACAGCAGGAGAGTTCAGACTTCAGCAAGGAGGTGCTGCTAGGCATGGAGGTGGTTTACAGTAGGCCTTCGGGCCAGGCCCACCCAGGACTCAGAAACACTGGTTTGTTGCTCGCAAGCATTTAATTCTGGAGCCAGGCTTCCGGCTAACCGCCTGCAACCCCCAGTGTTCTCTGCAAATCCCCACTCCATTCCTAACCCTGCCCTCCTCAAATCCTTACTATCCTTAACTCACTTCAAGCTATCAAACTTCTCTATGGAGTCCTAATCCTCTTTACAATGATATATTTATACCTCAACAGCTCAGCAGTATTTAAGGGCAGGCAGGTCATGGGCATCTGACCCACATGAAAAGCCAATTGAATTTTAGAGGCTAAATCAAATTCATATAATTTCTTAAACTTGACCACAGGTGCTGTCCTTCAGTTACTGCTCAGTGTTGCTTAAATGCTGATAAATCTGAGGAGACACACGGAGGACCCCTCCTTCACAGCAAGCGGGTTGAGGTACTGCTGGCATGGCACCACAGCAGCCATGGGCATGTATTGTCAGGTGGCATGAGATGGGGAAAAGGAAAATCATGGGGCTGTGTGATCTTCAAGGCCTCTTCCAGCTCTAAAAATCCCATTGTCTTTTCACATCAACAAATACCTGCTAACCCAGGCACTCTCAAGGGAGTCAGAGCAGTTGTCATACAAAATTAAGGAGTCAGAGCTCGCATTAATTCAGCTCTGACTGTGCCAAGTGCTTTGCTCAGGTACTCAAGTATTTTGAATTACCTGAATGTGCCAAGCACTGTTCTTAACACTGGGATTATGCAGCATATATGAAGTTCTCGCCTCAAAGATCTTGGACTCAAGTAGGAAAGACATAATAAGTAAGGGAGAAGAAAGCATAAGATAGTTTCTGTGAAGCAAATAGGATAAAGACAGAGTTACTTGAGTGGCTGCTTGAGGTGGGGTTGGGGAGAGCATTGAGAAGGAGATAATGTGTGACGATGTGGGGGAAGAAGAGTCCAAGCAGCAGGGACTGTCTCTGCTAAGGTCCAGAGACCTTGTTCTGTCTGCGGACAAGGCAGAGGACCATGAAGACTGAGCGGGCAGGGGCTAGATCCTGTGCTCTATCGTGTCTGTGGGAGGCAGTGTGGATTTTACTGAGTGTAAATGGGAAGCCGCAGGAGAGGGACAGGATCTGATGTAAGCTGTAAACACATTATTCTGGCTGCTGGGTGTGGACTGTAAGGAGGGGGTTGGCAAGAGGGGGTAGAAAGACCAGTTAGGACCTACTGCTGTGGCCCAGGTGAAAGGGTATGGCCTGGCCTAGAGTTGCAGTAATGGAGGTGGGGATGGAATGGAGTGATAGAGGTTGGATTGAGAATGTAGTTTGGAGGTGGATTTGATGGAATGACCTACTAGTAGATTGAAATGGGATCTAAGAGAAAGAAAACTCAAGGATGACTCCTGGTTTCTGGCCTAAGCAGCTGGATAAATGGTGATGCTATCATTGAGGTAGAGAAGGGTTGAGGAGGAATTTGGGAAGGAAATCAGTAATTTGGCTCTGGCCTTGCCAAGTTTGTGATCTGCATGGAGAGGTCCAGTAGGCAGTGGAGTTCATGAATCTGGAGTTCTGGGAAGACATCCAGGGCTGAAGATAGATATTTGGAAGCTAGCAGCCCACAAATGGTATATAATGTCGAGGGGTGAATGAGCCCATCTAGGGAGAGAGTGTGTGTAGGTAGAGGAGAAAAGGACTGAGGATAGGCTTGGGAGCCCCAGGCATGAAGAGCTCTATTAAAAAGGAGGCGCTAGGAAGGAGATGAGCAGTCAGTGAGGTTGAAGTGCAGAGTGGGTCCCTGAAACCTAGAGTTTTGAAGAAAGAATCCACATGGTGAGCTGTGATGACTGCTGGCAGGTTGAGGAAGAACAGCAGGTCATTGGTGACCACTGTGAACGCGTCCATGGAGCAGTGGGGAATGAGCATCCAACTGAAGTTGAGGAGAGAATAAGAAACATGACAAAACAGGTTTGAGAACGTTTAGTTATATTGCTATCTTAAACACTCAACACTTACTTAGTGATTAAGTGACAGCCCTTACTGTTGTGCACACAGATCTGCAGCTCAGCCAGGGCTGTGGAGGGACAATGTTTGCTCCATTTGGTGTCAGGTGGGGTGGCTGGAAGATGGGCTGGGGTAACCTTCAGGCTCACTCCCTTGCTTACCTGCACATCTGGTGGTTGGGGCTGGCTGTCACCAGGAACCCCTCTGTAGGCTCTGGGGTTCCCCACATTGTGGCTGACTTCCAAGGGCAAGTCTGAGACAGAGCCTGGTGGAAACCCTATTGCCTTGATGACCTCCCTTGGAAGTCACGTAGTGTCACATCTGCCCATTCTCTTCAGTGAATAGCCACAAAGTCCCGTCCCGGTTGAAGAGAAGGAGAAATTGACTCTTCCTCTTGATGGGAGGTACATGGGGGACCAGGTCTATTACTGTGTGATTTTGGAAAAATACCACCTTGCACCAAGGCTTTGGTTGTAAGGGAACCAAAATCAGATGGTAGCTGGAGAGGAGCAGGAGTTGGCAGGGCCGGTGGCTCCCTTAGGGACAGTGTTCAGTGCCTGCAGGATTGTAAATTTCTTTTAAAATGTTTAAATTTCTTTCAAAATTAGAAGAAAAAATGAATATAATCTGATCTGAATTTCATACCAATAAATGATAAAATATCATTTTTAACATTTATTTAATTAATTCAATATTGAGCTTAGAAGATGTGAAGGAATATGTGTATAGGCCCACGGAAGTCATAATGGGCCCCTGAGTGTGGGATCGAGGAAGGACTTTTGCTTTATTTTGTTTTAATAAAAGTGGCAGTAAATCGTGTCTGCAGACAGGAATGATCCATGAGGGAAGGATGAATTGAACACACAGAAGAAGGGTATAATGGTGGGAGGGAAGTGCTTGAACAGGCAGAGAGATGAGACCTAGAAAACAAGGGGAGGAGCTGAAAGGCAGAGAAGTGGAAGAGGGACACTGCTTGCATGGAACCTGGAGGAAGGGCCAAGTTCACGGGTACACTTGCAGGCAAGCACCAGGGAAGGTGAGGGCTGTCGGGCGCATCTGCTTCGCTGTGAAGTGAGGTGTGTGGCAAGGTCGTGAGCTGAGCGTGGGGATGAGTAGAGGGTCCAAGGCCAGCAGCGCGGGAGGGTCATCTCCAGGAGGAGGGAGTGATGACAGCACAGAGCGGGATGCAGCACAATCCGAGTCAATTTGAGGTGTGTGCCACCAACGTGGTTTCCTGTAGTCGTGTCCAGCCTTCTGGGTGCAGGTGAGGTGTTATGCATGGTTAGTGGACAGCTTTAGCCAGGGTCGGGTCTTGCCAAGTGACTTGTGGAGGGAGAGAGCGGCACAAAGGTCAAGGTCATGGCAAGGAAACTGCAAGAGTTCTGGGCTGTGGATAAGGGTAAGGAGGAAAGCAAGGATGTGAGCGAGGTGACAGATGTTAGGAAACCTAAGAGATCACAGGTTCAAGACTCAAGGCTGGGCAGGTAGCAGGGTGAAGGTGTTAGATTAAGTGGGCTGGAAGGAGAGGTGGAGGTGGTGGTGTGTTTCAGAGGTAGTGCGGCAAGGCCTCCAGTGCGGGTCGCAGACTTCTGTGTCCACTGGAAGCACCCACAGGGCTTGTTCCATCACAGGTTGCTGGGCCCACCCCCAGAATTCCTGCTTCAGTGGGAGAAGTGGGGCTGGAGAATTTGCATTTCTAACAAGCTCACAGATGCTGCAGCCACTGGCCTGGGGACCACAAGTAAGTGGCAGGCCAAGGTGGGCGGAAGGAAAGCTCTTTGGAGCTCCAGAAATCAAGAACCTTTGAGGCCAGAGTTGGGGGGTGGATCAGCTACTCATCGAGACGTGGAGGTCACTGTGCTGATGCACCAACAGTGGTGAGGTCACTGGTGACTCGTGGCAACAAGGAAGAATGCACGGGGGACACCTGCCTTTGAAGGGACGGGCGTTGTTGAGGGAGAAAAGAGAAAAAGTGGAGGCAACTACTAAGAGTAAGGAGGAATCTAGTCCTGCTCTCCATACCCCCAAGGATGTGAGATGGGAGCGGGGGGAATCCGCAAGTACGTGGAAGGATAGCAGGAGGAAGTGGGTTTCCTACTTCGGGAATGGCAAGGAAGTCAGGACTTTGAGAGATGAGGGCTGTGTGGGGGCAGGGAGCGGCGAGAGGGGTTGGCCTGGAGATGCAGAAGCAGTTCGGGAACGAGCGTCCAAGGGGAGACGGGCTGCCCCTTAGAGTATGAGACTCACTGGAACCAACGACTGCCCCTAAAATCTAGAATAATCAGTGCTCCAGATTTTCTGATTTCTTGGAGGGAGCACTTTCATTAAAATAAGCATGAACTTAAAATTGATCCAAAAGCACATTTACATGAACCTTTAATATAAAAGACCCTTTGCTCCCAGATCATACCCACATGTTCATGCTTTGGAGAAAAAGCAGCAAAAACCCTTCCTGGGTCTTGGGCAAATGGTGTTGGAGGGAAGCGTTTGTACGATGGGGAAGTGGAAACATTCCAAGACGGAAGGGTGCGATCTGTAGTGGCGCTAAGGACGCTGTGCTGGGGCTTGAGCTCAGGGACAGAGCTGCCCACCCGGAGCCCTTCACAGTATAGATCCTGCTGCTGCTCACTAGGCCATGTGGAGGAGGAGCCGCAGGGGACGGGCGGATTCTGTTTTACAGGCTGGGAGCTGGCCTCGCCTCCTCTCTGGACTGCTGAGTCTCGTGTCTGGAGCAGCGTGGCGCCCAACTAAAGGGGCAACCAGCCTGTGTAAGGCGGAGGCTGTCAGCCTGCTTTCCCCACTTGTCTTCAGTGTTCTGTGCTCTGCCTCTCGTTTCCTCCCCTCCAGAAGCCGCTGAGGTGGTTTAGTTGACAAGACAAGGCGGGGGCGGGGGGGGCGGGGCTGCAGGAGTTTAGCAGCCGGAGGTCAGACCTCCCAGGGGGCTTTTCTAATGCCCTTAGGGCGCTTAGCGAGCCGGTCCCACCCCCCTTGCCACCTGCCCTCGTGCTGCCCATCATGTTCAGTTGCCCAGGAGATGGTGAAGAGGCTGGCTAAGCAGAGGGAAGGGAGGCAGAGGGCCTTAGCCTAAGGAGTCAGTCCACAGACGCCTGGGAGGAGACACAGACCCTTGCTCCGTGACGTTCTGGGGGCCAGGATGGGGCAGCAGTTCAGCTGGGAGGAGACCGAGGCAGCTGGTGAGATGGACGTGGCAGAGCTGCAGGAGTGGTACAAGAAGTTCGTGGTGGAGTGCCCCAGCGGCACACTCTTCATGCACGAGTTTAAGCGCTTCTTCAAGGTCACAGGCAACAGGGAAGCCACCCAGTATGTAGAGGGCATGTTCCGAGCCTTCGACAAAAACGGGGTAAGACACTTGCTGGGGAGGCGCCCCTGGCTCATGTCTGCGTGAGCTGACGGGGCCCAGGGGAGCTCCCCATTCCCTAGTCCTCTGGCCCTTCCTCTCTCTCTGCTCTCTCCATCCCCTCACCTTTTCAGCCTCACTCTCCCCCAAGCCCCCTCCTCTCTCCCATCATTGTGCCCCTTCCCATCTTCCCTTCCCTCCTCTCCATCTCACCTCTGCTCCATGCCCCTGCTCTCTTACTCTCCTTCCCGCCCCTTTCAGAGCTGAAGGCGGGACTAGCAGACACACAGGTCAGTCCTGTCTGAGTAGCCTGGGGACCTGGTTTCTCATCCCCACCAGAGCCCCTGCCACTCCAGAGGTGAGGAGCTAAGGAACTGTCATAAATGGGACGAGCTATCTTGGCGCAGACAATGAGCTCCCCTTCTTGGGTCCTTGAAACGGATTGATCAGGTCTTCCCTGCAGAGAATGCTAGAGGCCGCTTCTGCACTGCTTGGGAGATTGGGAGGATTATGCAAAAATCCCTGTCAGCTCTTCAAGCCATGGAAGATTCCATGAAATCATTCACAGGGTTGCTTAAGCCCTCCAGTGACACCAGCAGCTAAGAAGATACATTTTGTAAATGTGCACCTAGAAACTGAGTTTAAAAATTGAAACCCCTTCAAGCCCTTCATTACTTAAGGTCAGCCAGTCCAGCATCTCCACAGTCCCTTAAGCCATTAGGTTTGCCTCACATACCTTTTTTCAGCCGCCAGTATGGAGAGAGGTGGGGTGGACCTAGATAATTAATCTGGAGAAAGCCTCAGTATCCCCACTTCTCTGAGCATGGAGAACTTTGCTTTCTAGGCTGAATTACTGGGGATGGCTCTTCAGGTCTGAACCTTGTCCCCGGTCAGTCAGTGCACATCTCAGCACCTGTCGGGGGTGGGAAGGTGGGGGGTGTTGTCTTCAGTACAACAGAAACCTTGGAGATGAACCTTGGGGCACAGAGTGAGCTTCCGACTTCCCCAAGCTTCCCCTTTTCTGAGTCAAATCCAGGGCAAAAAGAAGTGAATTGATTTGCCTGCAATCATATACTCAAGGGGTCCCGACTCCCAGTCAAGAACACCTGCCTAGAAGGCAGTTTATTTTTAAAGGGAGAAAATGGTTAAAAAAAAAAACAGCTCATCTATGACAAGGATTACTGTCATAAATATACCAATCTTTCCCATATTCATCTAAAAATTCAATACAACTCAAGATCATTAAGCCCCTGGGCATAATATAGCTATACCTCATCTTTTCCTACATATTAGCATGTAATATTCATCAATTGCTTTTTCCCTTTCTTTATAACTTTTACTTTGATAGGATTTCAAATTTACACAAAATTGCAAGAACAGTGCAACTAATTCCTATCTTACCTAGTTCACATTTTGCCTCATCTGCTTCATTATTCTCTCTCTTTTAGAGAAAGTTGGAGACACGAAGCCCTTTTACAGCATGTTTTTTCTGAGAACCAGGACATTCTCTTCAGTAGCCTAATACAATGACCAAAATCAGGAAATTTTACACTGATACAATTCTATAATCCATGTTCAAGTTTGGTCAGTTTGTCACAATAATGTGTCCTTTTTTTGGTCTGATCACACATTGCCTTTACTTGTCCTGTCTCCTTACTCTTTAATTTGGAACCTTTAATGTAAGCGTTTGTCTTATTTGACCCTGAGAGTTCTGAAGACCACAGACCAATGACATTGTAGCGCATCCCGCCATTGGGGTTTGCCCAGTGTATTTTCAAGATTAGATTCGGGCTTTATGTTTCTGGCAGAAATGCCCTGATGTTTGTCCTCCTCAGCGTGTGAAGTCAAGGGTACATTATCCTGGTTTGTCCCATAACTAGGGTGGTTAACTTTGATCATTTGGTTAGGTGGAGTCTGCCAGGTTTCTCTACTGTAAAGTTACTCATTTTTCTTTGTAACTTACAGGGAAATTCTGCAAGACAAATTAAACACATTGCTCACCAAATTTTCACTTGCTGGGTTTTAGCATCCACTGATAATTTTCTGACTGTACCATCCCATCTCTGTTTATTATTGGCATTCTGCTGTAAGAGGAGCTGTTCTAGGTGGTGTGTTAAGTTCCAATGTCAGAGACAGAGCCCCCTTTCTTTCTTTTCCCACTTAGCCCCTGCCTTCAAACCCACACCCAGCTCCACTTGGCACAACCTTTATATCAGCAAGTCTCATTTCTGGGCAACTGGACTGATAGAGCTGGGGCAAATAAAATCAAAAGAACTCAGATCTAGCTCACATGTCAAAATCTGGGGTGATGGAAACGGGTTTGGTGGAGGCAAGGAATTAGGAGCACCTCGGCTCCACTGCTCCTCTCCCTTGTAACACTCTTCTCTCCGGCAGTTGCCCTGTGATGCACTGGAATGGAAGAAAAGGGAGGATGGAGGTCAATGTCCCTTGGGATTCCTATGTAACGTGTGTTGGGGTCAGGGCTGGTACACAAATGCAGTCAATTCAGAGAGAAACGGGGCAGATAATCCCACAGAGCAGATGACACGCCCATCACTTCTGCTCCTACTCTTGAGTAAGCAGAGGCATTTCCATCCCCCTGGGCCTCTGCGGGTAACTGAAGCTGATAAGGGCCTGAGCGCAGAGGATGCGATTGGTCCCCCACCTGGAGGTTTCCCAGAAATGGTCTGGGAGTCACAGGCAACCTCCCAGGTGAGGCTGTTTGTCAGGAAGTTTACTCTGCAGTGTGCCTCAGGGGTGGCAAGGGGTCATGGGGAAAACCAGCTCATGTTGAAAGACATTGTAAGAACAGAAGGCTCTAGACAAAGAATGTGGGGGAATCTAGAGATGACAGGAATTTGTCAGTGGTTCTTTTTTTTTTTTTCTGTCCTTGGCACTAGACACCAGGCTCATGTTTGAGAGTCATAGACCTTGAGTAGACTAAGGAAGTTAAGCTTGATGAACTGGGGAAGATGTGCAGCTTGAAAGGCCCTGCCACTTGTTGGGTGGGTGTTCCTTGAGCAATTTATTCAACTACTAAGGAAGTTAAGCTTGATGAACTGGGGAAGATGTGCAGCTTGAAAGGCCCTGCCACTTGTTGGGTGGGTGTTCCTTGAGCAATTTATTCAACGTCAGAGTCTCAAGTTGCTCATCCATAAAACCCTGAGATGTATGTAAAATAGATGGTCCCTACCAGGTATATTGCATACATTTTCATACTCAATTCTTACTGGAAAAGTAGCATAAGGTCGATTTTTAGTAAGCTTAATAAATAATAATTACATGAACATAGCCCTTTAAAGAGCATACAACCACTACTAAGAATCTACCCTAAAGAAATTACCAGAGATATAAGAAAAAATATGTGTGCACAATGATGTTCATTGCATAATGTAAAATATTAAAACCACATTGAAGAAGAGGGACTGCTCAGTACCCCCTTAAAAGAGTAAAAGTCAAAATTTTAAATAATTTTAAAGACATAGAACATTTAAAAATGAAAATCTAGGAAATAAAACTAACTACAGTTGGACCTCAGTTAGGTAAATATGTGGTTGGGGGTGCTGTGGAGGACCAGCAGGAATTATTAACAATGTTGAATAAAACACTTAAGGTGTTCAGGTAGGCTTTTGTATTTTTCTACTTGGTTTTTCCTTGGGCTTTTTGCTGTTTCTCTCATTTTCTGCTATGTTCTGTGGCTCAAACCTTGCTCACCCAGGTACCCTTGATCTGGGGCTAGGGCTCCCCAGTGGCCTGACCAGTGGGCCAGGGTCAGAGATGCCACTGATTGCAAAAAGATGTCTAATTGCAAAGTCCTGTGAAAACGGGCACTCCTGGGGGAGCTGATGGCTCTGGTTTCGAGAGCTGAGATCCCTGCCTCCCTGCCCTCTGACTGCATTCCTGTCAGTGGGACAACTTGTGAAGCTCAGCCTGAGACCCTGGCCTGACCTACCCACTGCAGCCACCTCCACCAGCCTTTCACCCCAAACTCAGCTGGAACAGAAAAGCCAGAAGCACGTTCTCCCCTACTTCTTGTTCATGGCTTTTGGAGTCTTTGCTGCCATCACATTTCTGTTGGAAGGTTTAGTACCTGGGCAGAGTCACCTTAGAAGTGGCCACACCCTCCCCTCCTTCCTCTAGCCAGTTAACTCCTGAGCTCCGTCTTCCTCCAAGCCATCCTGGAGTGGGGGTGCAGGCCTGCCTCTCAAGTAATGTCCACGTAGGCCTGGAGGTAAGAGCCAGAGCCACTGCCCATCTGCCCCCAGGCTCAGAGTGAATGAAAGTGCAGAAGGAGCTTTCAGTGTGAGCACTGCTTACTCATGTACTTCCAAAGCGACCTTAATTCAAGCGACCCAAATTCAAACTAACTCAAGGACTGATTCATAAATATTTATGAGACCCCCACTCTGAGGTAAGTGGACTGTACCAACCATAAAGCAGAAACAAAAGCAATGTAAACCCCTGTCTTTTCCCCAGGAGCATATCCTGTGGCTAGAGAATGAGACGTACTTATGCAATAGCTAAGTGATAATGTCAGAGTAAGCCCCAGACTGTGCAGATAGATAGTAGGTCCTGTGAATGTTAGAACAGGGAGAGAAGGATCTCTGTGGCTGAAGTGGTCCAAGAAGGAAGGCTTCCTGGAGGAAGGGACTCAAGCAGAGCCTTGAAGGATGGATAGCATTGGGTGATGGTGGAGACTGGAAAAGGATCCTGGGGTGGAGAAGAGCATGAGCACAGATGCAGAGGCCACATGGAGTGCAAGAGGCAGGGTAGGGACAGATGGCCCAGAATAGGAGCCACATTTACGCTGGGGATGGAGGGGGAGAGGGGGTAGGAGGGGGCCTCACAGCTCCCACTCCCAATGCAGGACAACACCATCGACTTCCTGGAGTATGTGGCAGCCCTGAACCTTGTGCTGAGGGGCACTCTGGAGCACAAGCTGAAGTGGACCTTCAAGATCTATGACAAGGACCGCAATGGCTGCATTGACCGCCTGGAGCTGCTCGACATTGTGGAGGTTAGTGTCTGCCAGTGGGGCATGTGAGCACTGCCGGCTCCAAGGGCTGGCCACCGAAGCAGGGACCCCTGGCTCTGGGTTTGGGGACAAGGCTTTGGAATCATTCAGAGCATGCTTTCTGTCCACAGGGCAACTAACCTAGAAATCACTTAGATAAGGGTAACTGAAAATCCCCAGCTGTTTGGAAATTAGGCAATACATTCTAAATACTCTGTAAATCAAAGAAATTATATCACACACATGCACACACACAAAGTACTTTGAATTGAATATTGATGTGAATGTGACAAAACATGGAATGCAGAGACATTTATAGTCTTAAATATATCTATATTTTTTAAAAAAAGGGTGAATATCAATGATCTAAGAAGTCATCTAAAAAATTAGGAAAAGGAGTAAATTAAACCCAAAGACAGTAGAAGGAAATAAAAAGCAGAAATCAATGAAATGGAAAATAAATGCAGAAGAGGAAGAAAAAGTCAGCAAAGCTGAAAGTCAGTTCTTTGAAGAGACTAACAAAACTGATAGCAGGAATGACTAAGGGGAAAATAAAAATACCTGTCATAGCACAGACTGACACGTGACCTGTGTTAGCCTATTACTCCCCAGAACTGCCCGAGATGGGGGTTGCTAGCACATTCTACAGATAAGGAAATCACCTCTTGGAGTTGTGTAGCCTGCTCATATCATCTGCCCAGAGGTGTGGGACAAGCTGTCTCCCCTAAGGCTTCCAAGACCCTGTCAGTGTGCCTGCTTTTTGCCAGGTGCTGAGCTGGACAGTGAAGCCATAGGAATGGACAAGATGTGCCTCTGTCCTCAGGACAGGAACCACCAATCCAGGAACCAAGGATAATGCTCACATTGTCAGTCGCTGCCCCATTTCACTTCACAAACGCTGCCTCAGTGAGAGGCAAGAGCACAGGAGAAAACCGTTCTTTCCCCTCCAGTTCAAACACTTGGGTCTCCCATCATCCTGTTTCACCACACAACCCCACACACCCATAACTAAATTCTCTTTTCTGCTCTGAATCTCCATTTCCTCCTCTATAAAGGTTAGACCCTTACAGTGCCCTAATCCCTCATTAGAGGTTCAGGGTTTCAGCTTTGCTGCTCACAGTGGAAAGGCCAAAGGCATGAGGGCAGGCTGGGGTGGGCTGCGGGGATGGGCTGTGTGGCCGGGCACTCCTCGGTTGGAATTGGGCCTCTTTAATCCTGGGAGAACAGTCCGAGGACAGGTCAGTTTTGATTTGGATCTGGGTCCTGTGGTCCTCGGCCACAGAGCCTGGGCGCCCCCGCGCTGGGGCCAGCCAGTGGGGCGGAGCTCACAGAGGCTCCCTCAGTGTCCTGGGTTTTCTCCCACAGGCTGTTTACAAGCTGAAGAAAGCCTGCAGGGTGGGGACGGAGGCTGAGCAGCAAGGCCAGCTGCTCACGCCTGAGGAGGTCGTGGACAGGATCTTCCTTCTGGTGGATGAGAACGGAGATGGTAATGGACAGAGCTGGGTGTGTGGAGAGGTTACATGAAATAACAAAGTGTGACCTAGCACATGGTGTTCCTAAGAGTGACTCAACTCCTGTTGGGTCATGGAGGCCAGGCAAGCACAATGAAAGAGGAGCTTTGGAGTTGGGCAGACCCAGATAATACATTTAACCTCTCAGCTTCCTCTTCTGGAAAATGGGCATAATAATGGTTGTGAGGAATAAATGGTGGGTCATGTATTTAAGACCCGGGCACACAGTTGGCTCCATTAAGGCTGCTTGGGCTCTCTCCATGTAGCTGGATGCCCCAGCCCTGGGGCTGTGCAGGGAGGGAGCTGGCTGGGAACATACCCAGAAGAGCCCTCAAGAACCTTTCAAGAGGACCATGGGCACAAGTAAAACTTTAAGTCGTTTGCAAAGCAAGTCTCTTAAGGAAACCCCTGAAGTTCCAAGGAGATTCCTGGAGACCCTAACCCAAGCTCGGGCCCTGAGACTGCAGCTCGTGTGCGTTAGAGGAGCAAGTGCCCCTGGGAGAGAAGGAAGGCCTTGCCCCCTGCCCCCAAGCCCATCGCTTCCATTCTCCCCCATGACCCTGCCCTCCCTTGCTCAGGCCAGCTGTCTCTGAGTGAGTTCATTGAAGGTGCCCGTCGTGACAAGTGGGTGATGAAGATGCTGCAGGTGGACGTGAATCCTGGTGGCTGGATCTCTCAGCAGAGGCGGAAGAGTGCCTTGTTCTGAGGGCCCTGGGGCCGGGGGAGCCAGTGGGAGTCCACAGGCCTCTCCAAGACTCCAGGCAACCTGGCTCGGCCTGCTCATGCCCACTCATCCTGGCAGCCCATGGGAGGGGGGAGGGGCTGTTGGTCTGAAGTGGCCAACAAGGCCCAGTCCACTGGGAGGATTTCCTTGGGAGGTAAAGGAGACTGGCTCACTGTCCCCTGCAGCTGCTCCTGGGAAAGCTATGCCTTGGCCGAGTGGATGTAGGCCTCCCACAAATTCCTTCCAGCCTGGTTCATGGCTGGAAGCAGGGGAAAACTGAAGGGTTGAGGGGCGGAGGGTAGGGATGTCCCGCAGACAATTAGCCACAAGCATGCCCACACAGCTGGCAGCTGATGGCTGGAAGGCAGGGGCTGGAAGGTGTTGAGTCTGAAGAAAAGGTAGGAGTTGTGTGAAGGCGGATGATGCTACATTCCCCCAGGATCCTGGAGCGTTTTCACAGGGAGGACTCTCGCCTCCTCCTCCCCAAAGCTGTCCTCACCAGGGGTTTCCACAAGGGAAAACTGCAGCAGGTAAGGCTGTAGTCTTCCTGCCCTTGGAGGGGTCAGCTGTGCTTAAAGGGGCCATTTCTGCCCTGGTGCGGCCCAAAGCCCGGCTGCCAACCTGCTCCCTGCCATAACCCTTCTCCCCGCCACCGCCCCCTATACTCACCTCTCCAACCCCACCCCCAGCATGGACCTTCCACAGATTCCCAGCCCCAAGCCAAATGTGTCTCCTTAAAGGATGGAGAAACCTTCCCTCTGCCTCTGAGAATAGAGGACCGGCTGACCTGGGTTCTATGCTAGGCTTTGCCTCCAGCTGCTGTGGGACCCACGACAGTCATTTCTCTTCCCTGACCTCAGTTCTCTCACCCACACAGTGAGCAGGTTGGACTACACAAGCAGTTTTCAGAATATTTTTTTTAGATGTGAAATTACTTTTGTTATACAAACTGTGCAACCCCAGTATAAAAACTAGATTCAAAGGGAGTCACTCTGGTTGAAGAACTCTGAATAGGAACTCATTTGAATAGGTATGTTTTTATGTTGCTTTTTTGAAAAATAAAACTAATCCCTTGACCTGCGGTTTCATAGGTATGATATTTGTGTAGTTTCCTTTAGAAATAAATTCTAGGTTAAGAAAAAAAGTTGATTAAAAAGTAATAGTTATCCAGATGGGACACAGATAATAATGCCCCAAATCATGAAGATGGTATATGAATGAAGATGGGAAAATGTCCTAATTCTATCCAAACACCCTCCCTACCCTGACCTTCAGGATTTCTTTTCCCAAGAGGCAGCCACTAGAGAAGGAATGGAAATTTCAACTCCTTTTTTTTCCCAAGATGCCCCTGGCTTTGATCTTCACCTTCCCTCCATGTCTGTGCTCAGGCCCTGGCTGACTTCAAGTAATGGACAAGATGCACATTCTCATCTCCCCATGGGGCCTCTACAAACTGGGGTTTCATTCCCCATTTCCCTTGTTATCTCCCTCCCACCCCTGGCTTTTTGTTTACCCGGCACTTATCCCACACCCAGCTGAAGGGAAGACTCATAGCTCAGAAGAAAGAGCATCTTTGAAGACAGTCTCAATTGTTGCAGCCTATGTCTCTCCCCAGGTCTTGGACAGGAATTACTAAAGTTGGGGTATGCAGAGAATGGGAATGGAACCCACCTGAAACAGATCACCCCACTTCCCAACTGCTATCCAGTGTCCCTGCAGCAAGAGGGGTTTAGATTGGGCCAAGGATGGTCAGGACCCTTGCACAAGAAATGAGTCACAACCTGTGGGGAACCAGATGGTACCACATGCCACCCACAGTTCATCAGGGGAAGTATGAGGGTGTTGTGCTGTCACTTCTGAATAAATAAAGGTTTCCTTGGATAAATGAGGACTTTCCATACTACCGCAGCTTCTCTTAGTATATTTTATTATGAAGCTTAACCTATGAGTTCCTGGAGGATGAGAACTGTCCTTCTCTTTGCATGTCTAACAACTAGCATGAATACAAAGTAGGTGTTTAATAAATGCTTGTTGAAGGGAGCAATGGGTCAATGCACAAACCACACACAAGTAGGTTCCAGGGTCCTGGGGGCAGGATGGGTGTGTGATGACAGCATCTAAATGGAGGCTGCAGCCACCAGATCTGTAGGATCCCATCAGAATCCCAGGAAAGCCCAGCTCTACCACAGAGTTCCTAGGAAGGAGTGGAACTGGAGAAGCTCAGTGGGCAAAGCTAGGACGAGCTCTGGGAGGTGCCTGGGGGTTGGGGAGGAGTCTAAGGGGTGCTGAAGAGAGCCCCAGAGGCAGCAGGAACCCTCTTTCACTGTCCCCCACTCTGGACTCCTGCCCCTGCCCCTCAGCGGCCACCATGCACTCCAAAGAGGCAAGCTGGGCCTTTAAGTTCAGTAGACTCTAGTATTAAAACAACAATGATCCCAGGCCCCACCACACATTTCCCCCAAGTACAGAAGCAGCTGGTGGTGGGCTCAGCCAGCTGCCTTGGTTGCCTCCGCTGCCCCACCGCCAGCCCCCTCCTCATCTTGCTCGCCATTCTGGAGTCTGCGCACAATGCGGGTGAGGTCCAGGCTTCGCGTCAGTGTGTCCAGGAGCATCTGGTCCTTCTGCACGCCCTCAATGAACTCCTCCAGGGAGAGTTCCCCTGGGGTAGAGAGAAAAGGAGTCATGGGGAAGAGGGTGTTCAGCTCTCCTTGGTATTGTACCAGGGCACAGAGCTGGCGTCTTGCAAGGGGGACAGAGCCCACACCAGGGGAAGTGTTTGGCAAGGGGAGTCGGCAAAGGAGCCAGAAACGGAAGTCCAGTGCAGAGATTCCTAAAATCCAGCTGTGGCTGGGACAGAGGGGGGTGGAGGATGCAGCCCTCACAGGTCCCCTTGGTGCAGCCCTCGGCCTTCCTGCCTCTCTTCCCCGGTCGCCCTACCTCCTGGTGGCCCCTCCCCTGGTGGCCCACATCCCGGCCTCCTCACCATCCCCATTGACATCAATCTTGGAGAACACTGTATCGGTGAACTCCTCTGCACTCATGGTCGAGTCGCTGCAGGGGTTGATGGCTCGGATGGCCTGGGAGGGAAGAAGCGAGAGGACCCGTCCTAACCGGGGCTCAGCGGTGCCCGAGCAGCGGAGCGTGTAGGAGAGGCAGAAATGCGGCTGGACAGCTTAGGTCTGCTGCAGACGAAGAAACAGAGGCCCAGAGGGGGAGGAGCGTGGCCCGGGACACGAGCCCGTCCCCGGCGGGGACTGCAGGCGGCCAGCGGTAGCCCCAGCCCGGCTCAGCCCCCGGCCCCGCCCCAGCGCGGCCCTCTGCACCTGGCGTTACCCGGATGATGGTGAGCAGCTCGTCGCGGTCTATGCAGCCATTGCCGTCGACGTCGTAGAGCTTGAAGTACCAGCGCAGCTTCTGTTCCACTTTCCCCTTGAGGACCAGGCTGAGCGCTGCCACGTACTCCATGAAGTCGATGTAGCCGTCCTGGGCGAGGGGCGCGGCGAGGTGAGCCCCTCCCTGGTCGTCCGAGCCCAGCCACTAGGCGCCCCCGCCAAACTTTGGTGCCCGCCCCAGCCGTCCGGGACTCCAACAAAGCCCACCCGGGCTGCCCGGAGGCTGCCAATCAAATCCGATAAGCCAACTCCCACGGAGGTGTGAATGACTGAAGCCTGTGCTACCCTGACTGTTTCCCTGTGATTCGCAAACTAGAGGCCTTCCAGTTCCAAGGCATGTGCAGGTGGGAGGAAAGTGGGTTCACTTTGCACCCCCAGGGATGGGGGTGCCGTACCGATTAACTTTTCTGAGCTGGGGTAAAGGTGAGAGGTAGATAAGGAAGCAGGGTGTGCTTCTGTGTTTCTTTCCTTTAGTCTTCCAACTTCACTGAGCACCTACTAAGTGCTGTGATAGACTAAGGATTCAGACCTCGGTAGGATATGAACCCTGTCCTGATGGGCATGCAGGTTTGAGGGTGCAGGTTTGAATCCTGGCTTTACCCTCGCAAAGCTATGGAATCTGTAACAAAGGACTCAATATGTCTTTGGGTCTGGATTTCCTTGTCTATAATTGTTATAATAGTACCTACCTCTGGGGGATTGTTATGGGATTAAATGAGTTCATGTATGTAAAACACTCTACACTGTCTGGCATGTAGTAAGCACTCAATAAATGTTATCTATTATTATTCTATTATTATTACTATTATTATATAGACATCACTGTGCTGTCATTACATATACTCAGCGGCAACACATCCTGACAGGACATTATGGAATCACAGAATAGAAGCACCCAATTATGCTGAGGCAAGGTCAGGGGGTGGGGGGGTCAGGGAGGCTTCCTGGGTGGTGGGGGGGGGCCAATGCCCTCACTGAGTCTTGGAGGGGTTGGCCATAGGGGAGGGTGGCACAATACATTCTTGCTGGATAATTCCCCAGGGTCCCTCAAATGTTAGCAGGCTGACCCTATGCCTGGCCCTCCAAGGGGGTCAAGGAAGCAAGGAGCACAGGCCTGTCTCTGCCCACCTCCCACCCCTAACAGCTCCTATTCTGTGATTCCATTATGTCCTGTCCAGATGTGTGGTCGCTGAATTTGCATCATGATGGCGTAGTGATCTCTTTATGATAATAATAATAACAACAGTCGTGATAATAGCTTACATCTATTGCGGCTGCCTGTGTCTTGCAGAAAGAGTGCTTCAAGGAAAGGCACACTGGACTTTGAGCATGTGAACATGGAGTGCAGCCACTGTTCCTCCACTTACAAGCCGTGACTCTGGAACTAGGAAGTTGCTGAGCAGCAGATTTGGCTCAGGGGGAAGAGCTCTTTAACAGGCAGGGCTGCCCATGGGGGAAGGGCCAGCCTCATGCAATAATGAGCTCCCTGTCACTGAAAGTGTGCAAGCAGAAGCTGCAGCTCTTTGGTTAGGCATGTGGCAGAGGCTGGGCAGGATGGCCTCTGAGATCTCCTGGTTCTCTGCCAGCCTTTGGCCTTAAGTGAGACCTTAGCCGCCCTGAGCCCCACTGTGGGTGTCATCATCATAGCGCACATTTGTGTGGCGCTTCCCGGTTTTTAAGAGCATTCACACACATGCCTTAGCTCATTCAGTCCTTGCCCAATCCACCTCCCAGGATTGTTGTCAGGAGTGAGGCCCCAGGGCAACGATGCTCAAAAAAGCAAGGAAACTGTTAAGGTGCTTTCCTCTGGGCAAGCTTTCCTACAATGCGTTGTATTACTTTTGTAATATTTATTTAATGACTACAAAAGGGCAATGGAAAGATACAGGATTTTATGCCAGAAAGACCTAACCAACATCTCAGGAGTGGTGTGACCTCAGGCAAGTCATATATATGTACAGCCCTTTTGAGTCTCAGTTCCTCAGTATGAAGAGGGGCATGACAGTGTAGTCTTTTCAAGATCGTGGAATGGATTAGATTTGGCAAGAATACAACAACAATACTAACCTTTTTTAGTGCTTCCTGTGTTAAGTGTTTTATTCACTTGACTCATTTAATCGCATAAGCAACCCTGGGGTGGGTATTTTGTCCTCATTTTCAGTTGAAAAGCTGAAGTTGGAATGGGTTGCATCACACAACTAGTGAATGACAAAGCCTTGCCTAGAAACCGGGGGTCTTCGTAAGTCCTACCCGGTGCTCAGAGGCCGGGACTGGGAGCTTCCCACTGATTTGTGCGGACCTGTGTGACTGCAGGCACAGCCAAGGCCAGGCAGGATTTTGAAGTAAACAGAGCATATGCTCACCCCCCAGGTCACACTCCCCACTCCCACTGGTGTACTCCAAACTCTGCGCCCAGGATACAACGATCTTCCAACTCAGGGCTTGGGAAACTTTGTCTGTAATGGGCCAGATAACAAATATTTGTAAACAAATGGGTGTGTTCTAATAACACTTCATTTACAAAATTAAGTCCACAGGCCATTGTTCACAGACCCCTGGTTACCTCCACTCTGTATCAAAATTTCCCAAACCTTCAGCCCATCTGCTCCTGACAATGGGGGGAGGCAGTGTTGCCCAACATGTGATTTATACCAGTGGTGTACATGAGGCACTTTATATGTTACAAAGATGCTCTTCGTTTTAATAACTATGTATTTAAATTAATGGGCTTATATATAGCCCCTTATATATATCCATATATACTTATATATATAAAATATATAAGTAGCCTATAAAACACATTATTACTCATATATTCATTCATTCAAATAACAAATACTAAGCCCCTACCATGTCCCAGGCACTGTTCTAGGTGCCAGGCATACAACAATAACAAGACAAACAAAACTCCCTGCCCTCGCAGAGTTCACATTCCAGCAGGGAAGACAGATAACAAACATAGCAGCTAAATGTTATTCAGTATCACTATTAGCAGATGAGATGTGCTCTGGGAGAGAGGAAGGACTGGGAAATAGAGGGGTAGGGACTGGCCCCAGTTAAATAGAGTTTAAACCAGAAGATTCCAGCAGGTGTCAGTGGGAAAGAGACATGTGAGCAGAGACTTGTAGCAGGGGAAGGTGTGAGCCAAGCAGAATTCTGGAGGGAGGGGGCCCCTGGCATCACAAAGGCCCTAAGGTGAAGGTGTGCACAGCATAATTGAGAAGTCAGGTTCGGGACAGTATAGGTGGTGCTTACAGCACTGATGGGTTGCCCCTCCCTGGCATCATACATGTGATTTCGGAGGACCTTTCTTGAGATGGGTCTTGAGTCAAAGAGTTTCCTTAGCATGTGAGATGCCAAGATATTTCGGTATGTTTGAGTGTAAGGTATTTAGGCTCAACCATTGACCTTTGCCCTTCATGTTCAGGAATTAGTCCTTCTTCTGGAGCATTTGGGGGGTCCAGTGTGCTGATGCCAATCTCTTCTGGTCTCCATACCATGGTTCCAGTACTCCCTCCCCTGCGTCCCCTTCAGGAAAGCCCTCAGATACCAGGATGCTGCCCTTGAGGTAGGTCAAAGCCCATAATCTGCTTTGGCCCCTGAACCCTAAATATTAGTGAGTTTTAAATAGCCTCTGAGCCCCAGCTTTCCTTAGAATCCCTGCCTACAGTGGTGTTTGGACTCTCTGGGCAGTGAGGGGAGCTGGGAAAGCTCTGGGCAGCCTCTCCCCAGCCTGTGGCAGACACATGCATCCCCAGTGGGGTGGGGGTCAGCCAGGGTAGGGAGACAGGTCTGAGGATTTTGGTTTTCCTAACACTGCATCTTGACTGAATTGCTCCAAATAAATGGAAGAAGATTTGCTATCAAAACCCAACAAACATCTTAACTCAGCTCCTGACATCCATGGCAGGTACAGGTGAACAAGCCAGGGCTGAGGGGGAGATAACGGGTTCAAGGTCACCTAGCCAATGAAAACTAAGAGCGCAAACTCACAGTGCCTCATTCCCCTTTCAGTGCCTCCTCTGGCTTCTCAGGAAGACCTCACCCAATGCGTCCAGGTGATTTCGTGTGGAGACAGACCATTTGACCACTGTGCAGACCTTCAGACCCACCTGAGAGAAGGTGAGCTGAGGCCACTGGGTATTTTGGAGTTGGGAGTAGCCTGGATTTCCCAGTGACCAGGCAACCCTGCCTGTCCCTAAATCTAGCGTCCACAGAGGATCATGGGTGCCCATCCCAGACCAGAGCCTCTCATGTTGCTCTCTACTCCCCACTCCTCCTTCTGCATCCTGTGAGCATCTAAGGGCCTGTGAAAAAGTACTAAATATAGCGCCAAGTACTTAGCAGGCGCTCAATGACTGCCTTCTAAGTGTCCACACTTGGAATACACAGAGGGGTGCATGTGGAAGAGGCAGAGGAAGCCCTTAGAGTCAACCTCCAAGCACATTAACTTGTGGACCTCTCTGTCTTCCCCTGGAAGATGAGGTCAGGGACAGGATCTGATCCATTTCTGAACCTCCAGTGCCTGACTCACACTAGGTGCTCAGTGAATATTAGATCAGTTGAACCCCAACATGAACATTCGACCTCCCACATAAACAGAGAACTTTATAAATGAAGTCCCTCCTCCAGCAGACACTGCAGTTCTCACCCCTGCTCTTCCCCCAACCCTGGCTGGGCCTCCTGTGGTGTCCCCCCAACACTCACCACCCAGACCTCTACTCACTTTGTTGAAGTCAAAGGTCTCAAACATCTGCTCCACATACCGGCTGGCTGATGGGCTCAGGTTCTTGAGGCCAAAGAACTGGCGGAACTCATAGAGGGTGAGCTGGCCGGAGGGGCACTCGGTCATGAACTTCTTGTACCACTGGTGGCACTCAGTGCTGCTCAGCTCCTCCACAGACTTGCCATCCATCACATTGCCCATCGCCCAGGCGCACAGGAGGCCAAGGCCCAGGTGCACGGGTCCTGTTCCCCACTGCCCCCAGTGCAAGAGCAGCTTGGCTTTCCAAAACTGGGCCTCCTTGCTCAGAGGCTGGAGTCCTCGAGAGCTGAGCTAAGGAGGGCCTGATAAATCAGATAGTGCAGGGAAATGTTTGTAGAGGTGAACAGAAGGGCCGCACACCCCCACACCCAAATCCAGGGCATGCCAGGCCACTGGTGTTACAAGTTCTCACTAAACCCTCGCAGCCAATGGGGACTGCTCCCTGGAGCCAAGGAGTGAAAATAGAACAAAGCTTAAAGGAGCAAAAGCCCAGGATTACAGCCTTGAGCTGACAGGTGAGAGGGTTTTCTTACCCAGTTTGCAATCTCCTTACCCCTTCTTACCAGGACAGAGTGGGTGGGCGGCCAGTGACCATTCTGATCCTGTGACCTCCATTTCTTTTTCCTCCTGTCTTGAGTGGGTTCTCAGTGTTTCCTGTTCCTGCCCTCAGACATGGAACTGAGGTATATATGAGATGGACCTGGTTCCTCTTCCAGAGCTGGGCCAATGAGGCTCTTGACAGGGCTGCTGTGTACAGTTAGCCAGGTTGTGCACTACACTTGGCCATCACAACTGAGGGGTTCCAATCACACCACAGATCGCTGGCATATGAGAGCACCTGGGTGATGCACAGTTCGTGGAAACCCCTTCCTCCATAAACCTGCACAAGTACACATAGGCATTGCACACATTTTCACGGGTCCTGTTCTTACCACACTCTCCTATTCCCAGAGGTTGCATCTTTCCCATCTTGGGGGTCCTGAATTCAAGCGTCTGTCTGACTGTGCCTGACACCATTGCCTCCCCAGGGAATGGGGATAGGGGACATCATGTGCCTAGCAGCCCCGGGCGTGTGGAAGCAAGCATGTCGGCAGACAGGAACATGTGTGAGCTGCTACCTGCTGGTCCCGGAAATCCCCCCGGCCAACCTCAGGGGCCCACCTACGCAGCAGCAGCCTCCTCTGAGCCCTAGTGGGATGTTCCCTGGCCATGGGCTCCAAAGTTGGTTCATTTATGGAGCCAACATGCAGGGGCACCTAAATTGGGTGCTCCTGGGAAAACCCGGAGCCAGTATCTACTCCACCCTGCCCCTTCCCCTCATTTCCCTCTCTCCTTTATCTGTGGACCAGGCCCTGTCCCTGCTTGGCTAGAGGGAACCACCCACATTTCTGCTTTCCCCCAGCAGCCCTTGGGTACTTGTTGAAGTTGGGTGCTGATACACTAGCATAAAAATGTCTTCTGGGGCTGGTTTGTTACCACAGCTAATCTCCCCTATCCTGACTGACAGAAGTGCTGTGCAATTTTAAATCCTGCACAAAGTGTCATGATTCAGCACTAGGCTAGGTCCTACCAGCACCTGGCTTCCCAAGCCCCTCTCAGGACCCCCACCTTTGTGTCTGGTCCCGCCCAGACCGTGAGGCTGCAAGAAGAAGACTCTTTACTTCAGGCTGCAAAGCGCTTTTTCTTCAGAGTAAAGACTAAGGAAGATTTTTATACACATGTATAAAGTGTACTTATATAAATTATATAGATGTACACATATAAATAAGTTTATACAAATATGGTATATAACCTGTATTATCTATGACATTATCTTAAATATCAGAGTACATACATATACAGCCCCTTAAACAAAATGGGTTTGAACTTTAATGGGTCCACTTACATGTGGATTTTTTTCAATAAATGTATTGGAAGATTTTGGGGGTATTTGCAACAATTTGAAAAAATGTGTTCTTTTTCTAACTTACTTTATTATAAGAATACAGTACATGATACATATGACATGCAAAATATGTGTTAATCGACTGTTTATGTTATTGGTAAGGCTGCTAGTCAACAATAGGCTATTAGTTAAGTTTTTGGGAAATCGGAAGTTCTATGTAGCTTTTCAGCTTGCGGGGGTTTGCCACCTAACCCCCACACTGTTTGAAGGGCAACCGTATATCTCAGAATTGGCCAGCCTATGCCAAAGTATTTAGAATGGCATAACAAACCGTTCTAAAATCTTACTGGCTTAAGTACACAAGATTCCTTCTTGCTCACGCTACTGGCTGGGTGATCTTAAGCAAGTACCTTAACATTTCTGGGCCTCAGTTTCCTCATCCTTAAAATGGAGATAATGGTGCCCAACTCATAGGGCTGTTAAAAGGATTCATTAATTAATATTAAAATATGAAAAGCATTTAGAACAGGGTCTGGGACAGAGTAAGTGCCTCATATTAGTTATCATTTTATTACTTTGTATCTATCATAGCAGCAGGTCTGGCATGCTGCTGACTTTAGAATCTGGATGTGGTCATATTACATCTTGGGCACAGCAGTGTCCCTATGTCAGAGCCAATCGTGCCTGTTGTCCCTTCAGCTCCATTCCCCGTAGGCCCTGGGCTGTTAGAAGACCTGTGTGGGGATAGACATCTACCATCTCACACAGGACATCTACTAGCTGTGGTCAGGTCCTAGAGAAAATAGAAAACATTAAACTTCACTAAATCCAACCCCATTACCAGCTCCCTGCCCTCTTAGTTGCCCCTACTAAAATAAGGCTGTAACAGGAAGAAAATTGTTTTCCTGGCATCTCTTGAAGCAAGGAGTAGCCACATGACATGGTCTGATCAAAGAAATGTTAAGTGAAGTGATACAGAAATGCAATAGATACAGAAATGCTTTCTGGAGAAGCTCTGCTTTCTTAATATATAAGTGATATATAAGTAATAAAATATATAAGTGATAAAAGATGCAGCTGGTGCTGCCCTTTCCCTACTTTTTAACCTTGAATGTGGAGGTGATAGCTAGAATGTAGCAGCCATCTTGTAAGCATGGGGTAATAAGCAGGGAAAAAAGCCAAGAAGACCAGAGATGTCAGCCATCATTCTTGAGCTGCTAAATCCATGGCAATAACCAAGGCCTCTCTCTATAGTTCTGGTTATGTTTGAAAAATAATCCTCCCTTTATTTAAAAAAAATGAAATTATCATGTATATAAATGTTGAATCACTGTGTTGTACACCTGAAACTAATGTAATACTGTGTGTCAACTACCCTTCAATAAAAAATAATTATTTTGAATCACTGTGTTGTACACCTGAAACTAATGTAATACTGTGTGTCAACTACCCTTCAATAAAAAATAATTATCTACAAAAAAAAAAAAAGAAAAAAAACTAGAACCCTCAGAGGCAGTTTGAGGATGGATGCACTCAAAGGTGGTGGTTCTTATGCAATTTTGTGTGAAGAATGCCAGACTAGGTCCTAGGAGGGTTCCTTAAGAACTGGACAGAAGGGAGCACCAGGGGCCTAGACAAGGTTAGCCTGGGGAGATGGCCCAGCTCTTTTAAGGAAGGCAGCCTTCCAGCCATCAGAGACAGCCCAGTCTCTGCATCCACGGGCTATGCCCACTGCTGGGCAGAGGGAGGAGCCCAGAGTGGTGGGGTCTCTGCTCCCAGATAATGCTCAGCACCAGCAGCCCTTCCACAGGTGGAAATCCTCTTTCAATAGTGCTGGGCACATATGAACCAGGAGAAGCAGGACCCTGGACACCTAGAGAGGGAACTCCCTCCTTGATCAAGATGCACCAGGTAGAATGAGCCCAAGAGCTCCCTCAGGGCCTGGGAGGACTGCTTCTCTGGCCCTGCCTTATGAGGCACGAGGCAAATGCATGCTCTGGCCAGGTCTGCCTTTCTGATCTGGTCTTCCCTACAGGGGCACTTTTCTCCCTTTGCATCATAAAACCACTGGTTGGCCTCTTTTCTCCCAATTCTGTACTTCATTTGCTCATTATCCCAAGTGAGTTCATCCAAAGGGTCTGTGAACACTCCCTAGAAGACCAGAGAAAGAGAAAGACTGAGATGAGGGTGACATTACCCTGCTGTCCCTGTCCCTTGTGTGTCCGTGATACCTGTAACTAGAAGGGAACAGCCAGAATATTGACAAGGCTTACCTCTGTGTCATGGAATCACCAGTGACTTTTTAAATCTTTGCATTTAAAGATGATACATGTTTTTTTAAATGGCTCATAATAAACATAGGCTGCTCACATAATCAGAGAATTGCAATAGTTTTCTGAATAGTTTTTGAAAAAGAAATCAAACAGGACAATTTTACCTTGCCTTTATCTAAAATGACCAATTCTAGGGTGCTTTGGGTGAGGGAACTTGCCTTGGGTGAGGGAACTCCAGAGCATATTTTGGGGAGGCAGGCAGGGAGTCCCCTCCAGTGAACTTGCTTGGGGTCTGGGCTGGAATCCTTGTCCTGGCAGAGTCCTCTCTGGACCCTGAAAATGAAAGGATCCCGGAGGAGGGGGCAGCTCCTCTTCCTGTCTCTCCCTGTTTACATCCCCCTTACTCTTCTTGTGTAAATACAAATGGTACCTCTCCTGCAAAGCCTTCTGAATCTGCAGAATTCATCTTTCTTACCTCAGCATGCTGCCATTTTGCATGTGTTATATTGATTTTCTGTGCAGTATAACAAATTACCACAGAGTCAGCAGCTTAGAACTATACATATTTATTATCTCACAGTTTCTGTGGGCCAGGAGTCTGGGCACAGCTCAGCCAGGTCCTCTGCCCAGGGTCTCTCAAGGCTATAATCAAGGTGTCACCTGGGCTGCATTTTCATCTGGAGGCTTTGTGGGGGCCCTGCCTACGGCCGAGGCTGAACCCCACTCCAGCTGGACAATGCCCTAAAGATGGCGCCTGCTTCCTGCTCACCACCCTTTCCCCTCTTCCCTGTTGGGGATTGGCCCAGCAGACTTCCGTACCCGTGCACAGCTCGTGCTGCCCGCTTAGAGTGGCGCATGACACCTATCCGCTTAAAGGTCACGCATGATACTGTCCCGGATTGGTTGGGTGACTGAATATAAGGGACCCGCCGGGAGGGAGAAGAGCTGCCCGACAACTGCTGTAACCGCCATGAGAGATTAGACAATAAAGCCTAGAGAAGAATCAAGACCTTGGGCGTGTTGCTTCGGTCCTTGAAGGGTCGCAACAGGCTTGACTGGGGAAGAATCCACTTCCACCTCATTCAGGTTGTTGGCAGAATTTGTTTACTGTGGCTATATGGCTGAAGCTCCTGGCTTTTTGCTAAACATTATCTAGAGGCCACTCTTGGGTCCTAACAGCAGCCTGTAGTTACTAGAAGTTGCCCTCAGTTACATGGACCCCCAACATAGCTGCTTATTTCATCAAGCCAGCAAGGAGAATTTGTCTCCAATCTGCTGAAATGGGGTCTTATATAATGTAACCTAATCAGGAGAGTGACATCTCCTCACTTTTGCCATATTCTGTGGGTTAGAAGCAAGTCACAGGTCTCACCAACACAGTGCAAAAGCAGGAGCAGTGGGAGGAAATCACGGGGGGGTCCCTTTAGTGTCTATGACAACACTCACACTTCTAAGATAACATACATAATAGTCATTTCTTTCAGAATTAATAAGCACCTGTTATTGCCAACCTGCCCTCAAGAATCCAGCGAACTCTCAGAGAGTGGAGACCATTGTCTTATTCATCTAGCGCCACAGATTCCACCTGGTCATGTGCTGATTACTCTGGTTCTCCCTCCCTTTTCTCTCTCCACTTTTCTCTGTCTGCTCTGAGACCCAGGATATGACCCCTGTGAGCTGGATCACCCCTTGTGTGCTGGATCCCTGTGAGCTGGACCCCTGTGAGCTGGATCCCTGTGAGCTGGATCACCCCTGGGTGCCCCTGCCCTCTGGCTGCAGGCTGGGTTCATCATGGAGAAGCACCCGAAGGAAACTGGAGGGTGGAAAGAGAGAAAGCCTGGGCATTTGTTCCCCCCCCTCCCCATTGCTGGGTCACAGTTTGGGCCCTGGTGGTTGTCTCCCACCTTCAGCCACAGCTGAACAAAGCCCCCTCCCTGCACCTCTGAGGCTTAGAACTAAGTACGAAGGGCTTTCCACCCTGCCATGCTTCGAACACATCACCAATCTTGTAACTATGCCTTCTCTGTAAGCAGTTCTCTCATTAAATCTCCTCAGTTACATTTTTGGGAGTAACATTTGACTGGCAGGGGCTTGAGCTCCATCAAATGTTACTGAATGAGTGGGTGTGTGCAGGAAAGAAAGAAAGGAATGAACAAAAGCTAAAGTGGATTGGAACTATTATTAAACATCTTCTATGGTCAAGGCACTATGCTAAGCTCATGGAATAGGCTCCCAACAGCCCTGTCAGCGAGGGGGATTTATTTCCACATGAGACAAGGAGCATCTGGGGCAGGAAAATCACATACGAAGTTCACAAAAATTTTAAGTGGTGGTACCCTAAGTTTTCCCACCTCATCACTGTGCTTTTAGCCTAAGTTTTTAAATAACACAGGGAGTGAATTAAAGGAAGAAGGGGTGGGTGGTGCTAGAAAGCCCCTACAGCCCCTCACGCATGCTGCACCTTCACCTTGTGACCCTTCTGCCTGAACAACTCCACCGACAGGGAGCTTGCTGCCTCTGGGTGTGGGGCCCCAGCTTTGTCTCTGGCCCAGAATGGGGATGGACTCTACAGCTTCCCAGGTCCACAGCACAGCCTCTCCCTCCTCAGTGGCCTCTCTCCATCCCACTCTCCATTCTTGCCCCAAAGACAGGGATGTCAAGTCAGGGGAGACTGGGATCCATACCAAGGCCCCCATCTCCTGTGGGTGTGGAGTGACAGAAGTGACAGATAGGTGGCTTATGTAGAGGAACCGTGTGACAGGCTGGGTGGCTTCCTCGGGCACCTTGTCTACAGGATTCCCACCTGGGACAGATACTGCACTACCGTGAGTGGATCCACCTGGCTGAATGGTGCCAACGAGAGGGCACGGGTGGGGCAGGTGCGCAGAGGTGGAAGGCACACTGGGAAGAGAAGGTAGGGGCAGCAATCCCAGGCTGGACTGTTTCCGTCCAAGGCTTCTCTCCCAGCTCTCCACCTGCACAGAACTATAACAGAGTCCTGACAGGGCTTCCTTGCCTCCTGAGACTGTCCCACCCAGACCCACATGGGACTTGGGCCTACTTTTTTAAAAGGTTTCTGGAAGCTTCCACGGAGGCTGCTCTCCCAAGGTGAACCTCAAGGGGGCAACCATTCTCTGGGGACAGGAAGAGGCATCAGTTGGGAGAGTGAAGATGCTGGCCCCACCCCTGCACCACAAGGCTGTCAGGTCTGGGAGGGTGGAGGTGGCTCTCGTTCATCTTTGCAACCCAAGAACCCAGCCTGTACTAGGTGTTCAACAAGCGTCTGGTGGGTGATTGGTTGAATGTATAACTTTTGCTTATACATGGACTGAAAACCTGTATTCATCTCTGCTTCTTTTCAAAATCCCACTAAAAATAGCAATACATTTTTAAAAGCTACACATCTAGAGACAAAGAGAAAGAGGACAGCAGATGAGAGGTTCTAATAAAATTTTGGACAACAGAAGACAGATGGACAAGTGGTACCTGCCTTTTCAGAAGTGCAGAAGGTTGAACCCTAAATGCTTTCAAAGAGCAGGACGATGTGGAGGTTGGCACAGACGCACAGCCTTTCCTGCTACAGGGTCCCAGAGGCTTGGAGGTGAGGGCAGAGGTACCCTGAAGGCTGGGGTGCAGGACAGGCGGGGCTGAAAGAGGAAGACCGGTGGAAAGTTTGTGTAAGAAGCAATTCATTCCCCAGGTGTGTCCTCCACAGGCAGCAGAATGGGCATCTCAAGGCATCTATGCCCTCCTGAGCCCAGCTGAAGGTTGGCCTAGAGACCCAGATGGGAGATGCCCTAGCCTCTAGGCACAGCTTGAGAAGACAGGGCTGCTCTGAAAACCGGGGAGTAAGGGGAAGTCTGCCTATGCAGAGACCCCAAGCTCCTTCCCGTGCTGGATCCTTAAATGCTGACAACCAAGAAGGAGAGACCTTAGAGGCTGCTGAATGGCCCACTTGCAGCCAAGGGTCACCAAGCATCTGGGAAAAGCCTCTTGCTTGAAAGAGCTACAACAACAAATGGAAAACCTCGGACTCTGTGCTCTCTGTCGCCTTCAGGAGAGCCTCATGTCCCTCCTCTGTGCCTTCTGTCTTCTTTCCAGAGGAAGGTGTCCCAGGAAGCTTGGCCAGCGCATTAGCTGCTTGTCTGGGTCACCAGACACCTCGTCCCTTCGAGTCAGGTGCCCTCGGCTTTCGTCCTCCATGAACCCGGTCCCTGAGCCTAACTAGCTCTTCTGGACCAGAGAGAGGCTTGGGGTGGGAAACCCGTCTCCAACAACAAAGTACCAGTCAGAAGAGGCAGTTTTATGTAAAACTAGGACTGGAGAGGAGGCCCCCTAGAGACAGGGTTCACGCCCTGCAGTGCTTCCACGTTCTCCCACGGCTGCTCCATCCCTGGGGTCCTGGGCAGATGCTGCATCTCTTTCTTGTCTCTGCAGGGTTTGCCAAGCCAGGTTTGGGGAAGGCCAGCATGGACTTTGTTTGGAACTCAGCTCCAGAGGGGGTTAAGAATCACTTGGGGTTCCCCTTGGGGAAGGGGACTGAGAATCAAGTCCTTCCAAGTCCTCAGGTGCCTCTGGACTTAGCCTTGCTGTACAACACGCCGATGGCCTTAGTGTACGCACCACAGGTGCCAGGGGAAGGCAGGACAGACTAATTGCTGCTGAGAGGAGAGCGCTCCTTTTGCATTGCTGACAGTGGGCAGGGCATAGCTGTCTGAGCCCAGGCCCCGTCTGCTCCTCCTGGAGAGCAGCCCTTCCCCTCCGGGACCCGGGATCAGGGGGTGAGGGTGCTAGTGGGGGGTTTCTGACTGTCACAGCCTATGAGCGCCACAAAACCAGGTTGGGGAGGGACACATCAAAGCTCTTGTGGGCGTGGTCAGTGTCCCGCTGGTACAGGTGGCCACAGGTAGGCTTCTGCAAGGTGTAGAAGGGGTTCAGGGAGTTGGAGTACTGAGAGGTGTAGAAACTGAACCAGAACTTGTCCAGGTTCTGCCCCCTGGGGTCCACAACCCCTGGCATATAGGCTGCCACCAAAGTCTGTTTGCAGCCCTGTTTCCACAACAGGGACAGGGGGAGGGTCCGGAGTCTTCACCTTTTTGACTGATGGTGACTTTGGCCCATGGTTGGGTGGTGAAGGATTCTTTGAGTGCTGGGAGGAAGGAAAAAAGGGGCTTGCTGAAGCACTGGACCTGGGACTTTACTAGGGGCTGGGGCAGGAGGCAGGGAAGGCAGCCACTGGTCACAAATCCAAATCTGGAGCACAGCTCTACTGGCCAGGGAGCCAGATACCTCCAGGAAGGGAGGGCCTTCAGCGTCCCCTGACCTGGCCCCTGCTGGTGCAGACCTGGGCCTGCTCCTCACAGGCATCTGTCAGCTCAGAGGCTGGGACCTTGGGGTCATTCTCAACCCCACCCCATCCCTTCCCCCAACGTCTAGTCTGTCCTTGGTTGTCCTCCACTTCGCTCCTGGCTGGCTCTCGGCTCTGTGAATCTTGGGCTAAATATACAAATTCAAAGTACCCTAAAACAATTCTATGCCCTTGGGAATGTGTTTGGATGCAGGGGGAGGAGAAAAATCTCAAACTACTAGAGCCTTGAGTTCTTTCTAGACCTGATAGTTAATTTATTTTGAAGTTTCAAATAATAGTTTCAGAGCCTCTCTCTCTCCCTCTGATCACAACTAGAAACTCTAGAGAGTAGACAAAAGGCAAGTGCTAAAGAACTCTGAAAAGTAAACAGGAGACATTGTGAAATGCACCAAAACTTGGAGAGGCAACCTGGAAGAGGGCTTCAGTTTTTTTCTCTTTCCTCTCACCGCTTTGCCCTGAAGTCAGGGGTCAGGTGCACAGTTGTACTGAAAAGCCAAATGTCCCGAAAGAAACACCATTGTTCTGGCTAAATGAATCAAGAAAAGGGGCCCCTGTGGAAAAGGGGTAGGAGCATGCAGGGGTTCTCCCCCAGGAGAGAGCTGGAGAAGGGAATTCCCTAATTGTAGGTATGAGCCCTCACGAGGACTGGGGTGCCCCTGAACTGCACATATGGGGACTCACCCAAAACAGCACAAGCAAGACTTTGAGAACTGAACTAAGATTTAAAACCTTTTAAAATCAGAAGGCCATCTTCTTCTTTATTGGCCAGAGAATTATGTCTTTATGCCCCCCCATTCCAAATAAGGGTCGTAGCAGCTTACAGGGACAGGCACAATTCAAAATGAAGAAAGAGAAGAAGGAATTGAGGGAAAGAGAAAACCAAGTTAAAAAAATAAGTGAAGCCAAGGTGTAAAACTAATATACAACATGAATATCTTAAAACAAAAAACAGAAATGTGGTGTGTTGAATCTGTCTTATACTAGCTAATAAGAGCACATTGTAAACTATTCCAGAATTTTGAAAGGCATTGTTAACCATTGGTAGCTTAAGACTGAGCATGGTGGAAGTATTTACACTACAGAAACCAGCAATGCTACATGGCAGAACTTTTTGGTTTTTTTCCCCAGAAAGCCAGTTAGCAGGACACTTATTTATCAGCTGACTATGGTTGGGTAAAAAAAACAATTAGCTCTGAGTAACAGGGTAGTGAAAGCACAGAAGGAAATGAATTTAGGTACAAGATTCAAATGATTCATTAAAAAAAAAACAAGCCATTCCAAAACAACTATATATATAATACACATATATGTAAATTTTCCAATCACACAGAACATTTACTGAAATAGAGTAATGCATGTCATAAAGAAAATTCCAGTAAGTTCCAACGTATCAGTATTGCTGAAATTATCTACATTCTATAGTCATATTGTAATAAAATTAAAACTTAACGACAAAAGGATACCTGAAATTCTCATAATTTGCAAACTAAGAAAACATTGATACTTAACATGGACTTAAAAGGCAGCCGTAAAGAAAACTAACTAATTTAGAACCAGATGGCAAAAATGTTACATATCAAATTTTGTGGGGCTGTACTTAGAATTTTATAGTTTCAAATACATTTACTAAACAAGGAAAGTTAAAAGTAAATGAACTAAAGATTCTCTTCAAAAATTTGGAAAAAGAGCAATTGAGCAAACCTCAAGAAAAAAGAAGGAAGGAAATTATGAAGATAAGAATAGAAAGCCATTTAATAGAGAACAAAAACTGTGTAGTAAAGATTCACAAAACCAAAAGCTGCCTCTTGAAAAATTACTTGTATGTATTCAAGACTGGTCATGGCTAAAGGGAAGAAAAATAGATAAACAAAATACAGAATGAAAAAGGGGGAACAGCAACTGACATAACAGACATATGAAACATAAAGGATATTATGAACACAATTGATGCTAATAAATTTTAAAACCTCAGTGAGATAGGTAAATTCCTAGAAGAATTTAATATAACAAAGTTAGCATAAGAAGAAATACCAAATTTGATTATGCCAATAAATACTAAAGAAATGGGAAAAGTTGCCAATGGCCTCTGATAATCATTTTTTTAAAAAGCCCAGATGGTTTCATAAGGGAGTTACATCAAACATTCAAGGAACATGTAACTTCTCTCTTATGTATTATTCCCAGAAAATAGAAAAATAGATTAAAAACTGCTCAGCTAATTTTGTCAGGCTAACATAATATTGATTCCAAATTGAGGTATGGAAAATTCCAGAAAATAGTAGCTCCATTTCTCCTTGAACATAGATGGGAAAAATAAATAACCATGTATGAACTGAATTCAACAGTATTAAAAGTGATAATAAATTAAAGTTAAATGGGAAACCCTTAGAATGCAAGGATGCTTCAGTATATTACAACATACAACTCTAATTCACCATATTTATAGACTAAAGAGGGAAAAACCATCGGTTTTAATCAATTAATAAAAGGCATTTTATCAGGTTAAATATCCATTTATGATTTCTGAAAAACAGTTAAGGAACCAAGAATCAAATCAAATGTTCTTCTTATCTTAATAAAAGTTTTATTCCAAAAAAATTATAACAAGCAGTACACATTATGGAAAAATCTTAGAAATAAAAATTAACAACAGACAGCAAACTATTTAAATAACAAATGAATTTATCAAGGTTTTCAGCCATAAAACAACTTTAAAAAATTAATAGCACAGTAAGAGATAAAATAAAAATTAGAAATCATTTACAATAACCAGAAATCTATTGTGTCCACTGATTAACCTAACTCAGAATTCATAGAAAAATGTTAAAACTCTGGAGAAGTCGTTGAATATGATTCGAGGTAACGGAGACCCATTCTTAGAAGGGATCACAATCTTATCAAGACATCAGTTGCCCCCAACTTAATCTTTTAAATTGAATGTAATCCCAATTGAAATTCTACATGACCTTTTGAAGAATGTATAAATTTACTCAAATATATATATGATAGAATAAAGTTCCTCAAATAGCTGAGCCAAACTCTAAGGAAAAGCAACATAAAGGAAAGACTTGTCTTAAACATTAAGACATTCTATAGAACTGTAATTATAAAAAAGACTTGCTATGAAATAGTTATTTCTTTAAAAAGTTAGATTGACAAAAGAATGTAATTCCAAAAATGAGGAAATAGCTGAGAGCTGAAAGACAGACCCATATGTATATATGAACCTAATATACAATAAAGTTAGTACCATAAAGTGAGAGAGAAGTTATGGATTCATTTAGTAGATATTTATTTACTTTCATTTAAAGGGTGTTATTAGAAAAAAATGGCTCACTATATGAAGAAAATTAAACTGGATACTGACCTAATGCCACAAACAATAGCAGGTGAGTTGAAGCCACAAGAGAAACGTGAAGCTTTAAATGTATAAAATAAAATGTAAAAATCGTCTTTGTGACCAGGGACAGGGAAGGACTTGTTTATATAAAATCTCCAAAACCATAATGGGAAATAGTTTATTATTTCATTACATTAAAATCAAAGGTTTTTTTCAGAGACCATGGACAACCCTTATAAACAGTAACAGAATGAGAGATGATATTGACATTGTCTAAAATCAACCAGGGATAATATCCAGAATATACAATGAACTTCTGCCCATCAGTAACAATAAGGCAGCAACCCCTAGCGAAAAATGCATGAAGGATATAAGCATGGACTTCACAGAAAAGGAAACAAGATAATGAGCATTTAAAGAGAGACTCAAACAATAATCACAGTAAAACAAATTGATACATAATTTTATACCTATGAGATTGAAAACGTCAGTTAGATAATGCCAAATGTTGGTGAGGAAATAGGATGAAGGAAGCCTCCTGCTCTGCTAGTAAAATTATAAACTGGTACAGCCATTCTGGAGAAAATTCTTATACTTAATCAACCTAAATGAAAATGAAATCTAGGATCCATAAATTCCACTCCTGAAAATACACCCCCTCGGAATACCTAATAGGTCCCCCAGGAGGCTTGTATAAGGATGTTATTTTTAAGTTATTTGTGGTGGCAGGGAGACAGAAGCAATCTTGGTGTCTCCCAAGAAGATGGTTAAAAAAAACCATTGTAAGTGCACAATCTGGAGTACTATGGAGAAGTTTTAAAAAGTGCATTAAAAGTATACACAATATCATGGATAGATCTTTAAATAGAGGGTTGAGGGAAAGAGACTTAGTACTAGAATGAGCTATTTAGCACAAGCCACTCACTTTAAACAAAAAATAAGTAGGCACAAAAAAATATATGTTTTGCAAGAATACCTATAACAAAAGATACATACAAAACACATTAGAATGGTTGTCTTTAGTGAGGGGAAGAAAACTGGAAGAGGCAAATGTGGATAAAAAGGAATAAATAGAAAATTTTGTGCGGACCAATGATGATCGTGTGTCATCACTGAGGAATATAATTAATTCTACCATTAGCATCTAAGTTTTCTAAAAATCAATGACTCAAAGAAAATCATAACTCTGAGAGCAACTTTTTCTATATTTCCATTACAAATATTACATAATCCCCTATTCTTTCCATCCAACTAAATAAACAGGGAATATAGTTAGTGTTCAATTGGAGTTGAGGATTTAGAAAGGGAAAGTAGGATTTAACAGTCCTTTAGAAAGGAATTAACAGTCCTTAGATTCCTCCCTACATTTTTGCAGCATCTCTCTCCAATGTGTGTGTATTTTTTATTCTAAATCTTTTAGACTCTAATAAACATGTTCTATTTTATATAACAAATCTGAATATGTGGATTATCTTTGGTCCTCCTTACCAAATTCTTAATTCTGCTCATATGTTGAAATCCTAACTCTTAGTACCTCATGTGACTTTATTTGGAGGTATATCTATAGAAAGGTAATTAAGCTAACATGAGGTCATGAGGTCATAAGCTAATGTGACCAGTGCCCTTATAAGATTTTAGGACATGGGCACATACAGGGAAAGCTATGTGAATACAAAGGGAGAAAATGGCCATCTCCAAGCCAAGGAGAGAGGCCTCAGTAAAAACCAATCCCACTGACATCTTGATTTTGGACTTCTAGTTTCCTGAACTGTGAGAAAATTAATTTCTGTTGTTGAAGCCTCCCAATCTATGGCAATTTGCTATAGCAAATGAATACATCCTCCTATATTAGGACTTAAGCCAAATATACTTCTTATTAATGAAGGAACTGCTAAAATAAGATTATAGCCTTTAGTAAGATTTTACTGAAGCCTTGGGCACACTTGAAGTAGGAAACGCTTCGTTCTCATGGCAGACATTGTGGATTCGGAGACCACAGGCCCAACCCAACTAAGGGTTTTCCAACTGGAAACAGACCAGCTGCAGCCAACACTGCAACGCCGGCCGTGTTCCGCAGGCCTTCCCACTGCGTGCACCCTGGCTGGACTTCCTGCTACCCGCATTTGCATCTCTTTCCTGAAGGCCTTCTCAAAAGCTGAGGAGGCCACTCCGCCCCACTGGTAGCAGACTACAAGGACAGGGAATTCATACGCCAGGAAGCAGTCTTCAACCAACGAGGGCTGGAAGTCACTGTGCCACTTTCCCAGCTCCTTCACCCTCAGCCGGGATAACGAGGCATTGTACTCTACACCATTTGCCAGAGTTTCCCCACAGGATTAAACTCCAGTCACTCATCCTTTATGGGCTACCCAAGCCCCGTCCCTTTCCAACTCCCCTTAATCTGCTGCTAAAGTTTCCTGTACCTCCAAAATAAACTGCTTTCGCTCACGTCTCCTCTCAGAGACTGCTTCTGGAAGAAACCAGACTGAGGCACCTGGCTGGCGTATTTGCCTCACAACCAGTGCAAGTCAACGCCTCCCTACCCATTGCCCAAGAGTACTTACCCATGACTCTCCATCAGGCAGCCGGGCCTCTCTCTAAAGGACGCCTATCCCTGTCTGTCCTTGCCGAGATCTCTCCTTCCCCAGCGTGGATGACAGTCTGTTCTACTGATTAGTAAGCAAAAACATTTGGATGATTATTAGAAATTGTTGGAAATATTTTTATTTTGTTCAAATTTGTAATAAGAGAGACAATACATCCTCTCTGGTCCTGCCCCTGTGTACCCAAAATATCTGAGCTGGGGGAGCACTGATCATCTGTGACATAGTTTAAGAGGATTACAGGGCGCAGTAATTACAGGCCCATCCCTGACACTCACTCTCCTCAGCCCATGGACTCCCTATCAACCCCAAGGGGGGAAAACTGGATCTAACTTCATCAGGAGGCCTTCCCAAATCTATTATTTATGGCACAAGCATTGACTTCAGATATTTACTAATCTAAGGCTTTCTTTCATCTTGTTCCTACCATGGTTTTCAGAAGTACATTTTAAGTTCAAGAGCTTAATCTTTTGATCGTCATTGTTTTGCTGTGGTCACCCAAGGCATGACGGGAAAATGCCGTGTCTGCCTTGGTTGTTAACAGACAAAACAATCTTCAGCTGATGTCTCAGAATTGTTCCTGCCATATACCTGTATATGTAAAGGCACAGGAAGTTCCCTACCAGGACACAGGACACATGGTACAGTTACCTCCGGGAAGCAGAGTGAAATGGGGAGGGGAGAGTTACAAAGGGAACATTTTTACCCTATATTCTTCTATGTGGCTTGAACCCTTTATAACGAGAATGAATTCATGTTCTTCCTGTGGAATTTTTTACATGATAAGAAACAGGACTTCAGAAAATGAATAAATTTCTACTAGGTGGTAGTAGAAAATCACAGTGATAGCGGTTTGAAACTGAAGGGCCTACGGAAATACTCAAAGCTGAGAATCAAATGCTGTAGCCCATGTGTAGCTACAAACATTTGTTAGCTAGTTCAGTGTAAGGTTTAAAATCTTCATGAATCCAATGATACGCATTACACTCTTTTGAGCAATGCTTTCCTGATTATGTTCCCCTATAACACGCTTTTTCTGTAAACTGTCTAAAGGACTCAGGCCATGAACAGATAAAGTCCATTATGACTGAAATACAGAGCCTTGAGAAGAGATACACACATTGATAATAAAAAGATATGCTGTTTTTCCTAGGTGAAGGAAAATTGTAATATTATACACTGGATCTGCACTCATTCCTCTCTTTAAATCTCCCTAAACACAATGAGGCATGCATATCTGGAGGAGCAGCCACAGAAGGGTTGCAGCACCCTTAGCTAATCTCCAACGAGTCTGACCCATCTGCATCGATGACCCTTATGGGTTTGCCCAGCCCTTTCATTCTATCCCTTCCCATTTAGGCCTCAACTCAGATCTGGCCAATAGGTGTCCAATCTGGATATCTTCACCTGTGATATGCTATTTCTTTCCCCTACATTTAGTTTCCACACCTATCATCTCACAGGACCCTTTGAAATGGGTAGCCAGATTCACCCCACTGCATCTGGGGCCACCAAGGCCCTTCAGATTTATTTCCCTCGGAATCTAAAATCTGCCAGAACTGTTTAATCCCTGAATATGTTTAATAGACCCTGGTTCATGACCCCTGCTTCTCAGCCTCACCCCACCCTCCCCAGCTGTGCCTTATTTAGTGTTCTTTGATTCTAACTATTGCCAATTCTGGGACAGGCTCAAGTCAGCCTCCTTCATCGTAGGTCAGAGTTCCCAGCAAACTATGCCAGACATCCTTGGCATTTTAAATGGAGTCGTGGCTGCCCTATGACTCATAGGCAAACTAGGCCTATTTCTGAGTTCAAAAGTCTCTGTTCTCTGGGTCACTTAATTTTACTTGTTGGTCATGCCATTTCAATCCCTAAAGCAGTTTTCTCACGTTTCTTTTTGTCAAATTTGATATCCTGCTTGTTCCCATAGTGTTTCCTCAGCCCGTGGACCTAGCACATCATGACTCATTTCTCCCACGTTGGCACCCTGAGTCCCTGGCCAAGTAAATGTAGTAGTGTTAGATATTTTGACTTTGTTGGTCTAATGACTGCAACATGTGATTTCAAAGGCAGTTCTAATTCACAACTCTCTGATAACTATTGTGGATGTGCACAGTTTTTATATATTTATTGGTCATTTATATTTCCTTTTTTGTGACATGCCTAGTCACATCTTTGACAATTTTGACCATTTTTCCCTTGGATTATTGTTAAATATTTTGGATATAATCCTATGTAAATTATGTTTATTGCATATAAATCTAGTTTGTGGCATTGGGATTTTCCTTCATTAGAGTATACTTTGATAAAAGTTCCTAATTTTAAGGTGACCAGATTTGTTAACCTTTTCTTTTATTTTTTGTTTTTTAAAATGTGTGTATGTGTCTTATTTAATACATACTTCCCTACCTTGAAGTCATACTTTATTTCTTTCATATTTATTTTACATTTTCATCTGAAACTTATAATTTCTCACCTTCAATATTTTAGTATTTAGTTCATTTGGAATTTACTATTAGTATGCTAAATGTATGTCCAATCACCCCAGTGTCATTTGTTGAATAGCACATCTTTTACCCACTTGTCTTTAATGCCCATTCTTCATGTACAAGGGGCCCGATGCTATTGGTCATTCTATTCTGTTGACCCAGTCGTCTACATACCCTGCCACCATCAAAAACGCATGGTCTGAACTACAGCGGCACTGCAACATCTTGTTACATGGTCGGGAAGTCTCCCTGACTCCCTCTTTGTCTTCAGTGGTATCTTGCCTCTTCTTAAGCTTGTAGTACTTCATTTTAGAACCAGTTTATTTAATTCCATGAGTTTTTTCTAGAAATTGCACTGAAGCCATAGACCATATTGGGGAAGACTGACATTTTTATAATATTGAGGCTTCCTAACTAGGATTATCTCACCGTGTCTTTCAACATTTTTAATTTCACCCATTAAGATCTTGTATCTTTTCTTTCTGAGAATTTATTCCTGATTACTATGAGTTTGCTATTCAAAGGGACCATTTAATCCCATTTCCTACTTTTTTTGATAGAAAAACGCAATTTATTTTTTGTGTATTTATCAAACCACCTAAACTCCCTTATTTATTCTTATGTCTGAGATTTTTTTTGTTTCCTCTGTAGACAATCACATCACCTATGAATAACTGACAGCTTACTTTCTTCCTTTCGTACCTATCCTTCTAATTTTTCCTCCTCTCTCTCACCTTCCCCACCTCTCCCTATCTTCCTTTCTTTTTGGCTATTGCTAAGTCCCCTGTTCCCTGCCTAAGCAATCCTACTCTGCCATTTTCCATTTCACATTATAAAATTTGGCTTTCTAAAATGGTCTGCCTCTTTTTTTTTAATTTTTTTTAATTTTGTTATCATTAATCTACAATTACATGAAGAACATTAAGTTTACTAGGCTCTCCCCTACCCCAAGTCCCCACCCCCCACAAACCCCATTACAGCCACTGTCCATCAGCATAGTAAGATGTTGTAGAATCACTACTTGTCTTCTCTGTGTTGTAAAGCCCTCCCCTTTCCCCCACCCCCCACATTATACATGCTAATCATAATGCCCCCTTTCTTCTTCCCTGCCCTTATCCCTCCCTACCCTCCCATTCTCCCCAGTCTCTTTCCCTTTGGTAACTGTTAGTCCATTCTTGCGTTCTGTGATTCTGCTGCTGTTTTGTTCCTTCAGTTTTACTTTTGTTCTTATACTCC